CCCCCCAGGATTCGGGGGGGGGGGGTAAATAACCCCAATAACCCCCCTTATTTAGGCCACTGATAGTTCTGTTGATTAAAGCACCCAAATCTAAAAAATCGAATAATAAATATCAAAGACGACATTTGACAGGAGAAAGGTTTTTAAAAATGGCGGGCTCTTACCGGCAGACTGCAGAGACGAGTTTTGTTGTGTACACTCTCTAGTTGTATACATTTCAAACAAGAGTTGTTTGCGTTGCTCTCTGTTCTCTCTTTTTAGGATTCTAGGGACGAGAAATCCTCCTAGTTTAGAGATATTCTATTCTATTCCGTATTAGAAACAATAAAACCAATTTTTTGGTCATATAATTTTAAAGATTGTGATATAAATAATGTAAGATTTGTTTCATTTCCCTTACTTTTAGAACAAAGATAATGCCCCCAAAGCGGCGTTTATCTACTAGCGAGGGCGGAGGGGAGGATGAAGGAACTTCCGCCTTGGACGGCGGTAAAAAGAAGAAGAAAATGGACATTTCTACTCAAATGCAGGTATTTCAAAAATTTTGGTAATTTCCTAGTATACGATTTTTGGACACCCCCCCCCCTCCTATCAATTTTGTACATGGGTGTGACAGAAGTGTCTTGACTAACCTAACCCGTGGCCGCAGCGCTCGGCCCCCTAGCCCATCCTAGCCGCANGTGGATCCACTAGGAATATACCGTAGTTTTCGACAATGAACTAATACCAATAATTTTTGTTAAATAAAACAACAACAAACACTTTGACTTGTTATATCAATTGAAATTACTTGCCAAAATCCGAATTGATTGTATACCACCATCAACTATAGACTGCGAAAGCTCATTTAGTTTTGGCTTCTTTACTTTTAATATTTAGAGTGTTCTTGATTTTATCCGGAAGTCCAAGAAGGAAGACGGAAACGCTTTGTGTGAACACACTCTTAGACTTCCGAACAAGAGATCCGAGCCAGGGTAACAATTATATATTCACTAATGATAAAGTCCATATTCTTTATAAGTTCTTTTAAAGTAGACAAAATTTAGCAATCGAGGCAATCCAAGCCAACTTTTAATGCATTTTTTTCTTCTACATATAATAGTAGAAAATAATTCAATGGAAAAGTAATTTTGGGGACTGAGTCTTAATCGTTCTTAAGTCAAAATTCTTGCTTCAAATACTTCAAATCATAACTTACCAAGGCATTTATTGAAGCCTGGACTCTTTCTTTAAAAATCTTTATTTATTTTGCTTGTCTGTCTGTTTGTTGTTTCCAATAACGTCAAAACGGCTGAACCGATCGGGACCAAATTTTGTGTAGGACCTCACATGACTCCAGAGAAGGAATAGATGGTCAAAATTTCAAAGATTAGCCACCTACAAAATTTGATTTTCATTTAATTTCGAAAATACACAAAAAAAAATTTTTAAATTGCCAACTTTTTTTCTGTTTTCGATTTACTAAGAGAAACTGTTCACAATTTAAATAGAAGATGGGCAGCCTAGTATTAAATATTAGATTGCAAAGCATTTTGTAAATACAGAAAGAGTTTCTGAGTGGTTTGTTATTCGCTAGTTTATTCTAATTGATAAAAATAATTTAGATATTATGAGAGTATAGAGAACCCTATTCACTAGTTTATTCTAATTAATAAAAATAATTTAGATATTATGAGAGTATAGAGAACCCTATTGACGTGATGAAAATACAACAAAAACTCAAAACTGATGAATACTCGTCATTTGAAGATTTTAAGGTATTTTCTATAAATATAAAGTAGTAATCTCGGTTGGTTTGTTTTTATGTCCGATCATAACTCGTGAACTTTTTTACTGTAGGTAGAACCCACGGTAATGTTCTTGGTTTAGTTACAAATTTTATTTTGAGGTGGTTGACTTTAATAGTGATAGTTTGGTTTACAAGCAAAGCTGGGTTCCCAAACTAGTTTTACATAATTTTTATCTTAAAAAGTTAAATTGTTTAACCCCCCCCCCCCTTTGGTAAATTATTATAAATATTATGGATTCAATGGTTTAGAAAAATTAGCCGACCAGCTGAGGAAAAAAAGTTTATTCAAATTTTCTCCCATTTTAGGCTGATTTTGATCTACTAGTAAGCAACACAAAGAACTACTATAAGAAAGGAAGTGCTGAGAATAAAGAGGCTCTAGAGCTTGAAACAGTCTTGGTCAAAGCTCTAGCCGCAGCGCAGAACGGAGAGGATGTTGCAACAGTAGCTACGGACAAGTATGAATTTGAAATAGAAATAGAATTTATAAATACAGATGAATTTTTAAATTCAAGCTTTTTTGGTTTGAGATTTTAGAAAAAATAACCACTTTTTAATTTTTATTATTTTTCCATTTGCAGAGAGGAGAAGGAGGAAACCTGCATCACCGAGTTCCTGGAGGAGTTCCTGGGAACCCTGATGACAGCTGCTGATCCGACGGAACCTGACCGGAACCTGAGCACAGTGTTCCAACTCCTCCCTAGTAAACGAAGATACCCAGAGTATTATGAGGTATGAATATAAATCCACGAATTCCTTTTCAGTGGATCCAATATTCAACAATGATTATACAAATCAAAATACATAAACTTACTGCTTTATAGTGGTGTAAAATCAGGAGGATCTAGATTTAGTTATAAATCCGCACCTGAATCCCCTTTTTTTCTAAGTGCGGATCCCAGGGGTTTTCCCGCCCCCTGGAGAAAAGAAATCAAAGACCCAAGAGGAGGGGAAGGGAAGGAGAAGGGGAAAGAAAAGGAAAGGAAAACAACAGAAGAAAAGGATGGGTGGGAAAGGATAGGGAGTGAAGTGGACAGGTAGGGAGGAGATAGGTTGAGTGGGAAAGACAAAAATAGGGATTAGGGAACTACAAAAAGGGACAGGGAAGGGAAAAGGAAGGTAGGGAAGAAGATGGAGAATGTATGGGGAAGGGAAAAAATTGATGGAAGGTTGGTATATAAGGAAGGAAATCGGAATTTAGGGAAGTGAAGGGTTGGAGGCTCTTTACCTCTTCATATCTAACTTTCCACACTCTTAAGAGTAAACACCCCCTTATTAAAATTATGGGAAATGACTCAAAAGAAAAAAAATACTCCTGGACGGACAAATAATTAATCAAAACTTCTTTGTCAGAACAACCATACCAAAAGTTAAAAAAATTTTAACCTGTACGTGATTTCAAAGTTCTTGAGTTATTCCTCTTATTCTAACCTACACTGCATTATATATCTTAAAAAGTTATGTCTTTTTAGTTATCGAATTTGGGGAAGAAAATTAAAACAAAATTTCAAAGGGGGTTGGGGTGGGTAATGGAATTATCAACACCCCTGGCGGATCCATAATCCGTATCCGCATCATTGTTATTTTTATCCCCATATCAATGCTTGGAAGGAAAAATTTAACATTTCTCCCGGTATAAAAATAATAGTTTTTTTCTAATGGATTAAAGATATAACCAAATTGGTATTTAAAATTCTTATTAGACCATAATTGATTCTGATTATTCTAAAGTTTATCATCTTTTTATAGGTCACTCCGGAGCCCATTGATCTAAGAACAATTGCGGTCAAGATACAGGAGAACAAATATACTGGAATAGGTAGGTTTTTGGTATGCAACTATGTTCATTGTTTATACAATCCTGCTAATCTAAAAACTTATTTATCACTATGCAGGTTAATGTTAAAACCAGCATTTTACAACAAAGAATGTCATTTACTCCTACCAAAGGGTTTGTCATTAATTCCCTAAGGGGTTTAAAGGACCTCACTAGTCTTCTGGAGATTGCAATAATTCTTGAATTAATAGAGATAAATGGTGCTAACTTTGCACCTATATTCTTTTAATCCATAAGGGACAGAAAAAATATTAATATTTTTCTTGATCACTGACCAGGGGCGTAGAAAGGGGGGGGGGGCGTTTGGCCCAAAACAGGTATTTATATAAATAAATATTTTATTGCCGATGTATCATAATTGTTTTTAAGATTTTAGGTAGATGTATCACCTTTTTATCATCTGACAATGGGCTAATTGTTGTGGGTATAAAGGTCCAGTTAGAATAGGTGTGGGACGGTGCTTCCCATGCCTGCCGGCGGTCTGGGGGGTTCATAATGGGACCTCCTTTTTCAGATTTCTTTTCAAATAGTTCAAATAGGTCTGACAGAATATTAGACCATGACAAAAAAAAAACTTAACAAGGACAGATGCAGCTTGCAGTAGGAGCCCTGTATGGTTCAGGGGCTAAAAAACCAATAGTCAGGGGGGCCGTTTGATCCAAATTGAACTCCTGAAATTGAAGAAGAATCAGTGCCATTAATGCAAAATTTAATTAAGGAATGGTAAGTAAAATTATAAAAATATTTTAAAGTTACTTGAATTGGTAAATCATTATTACTTCTTCAGGGGCGTCAAAAGTAAAATAATAATAAAAAAATAATCTTAAAATTATTATTTTCTTAGTTTTTAACAAATTAAATCCAAGAGGGGGGTAAGTAATATTTTTTCTCTTGACGCCCCTGAAGAAGAATTTATGATTTATCAATTCAAATAACTATAAAATATTTTAATAATTTTACTTACCTTTCCTTATTTAATTTTGCATTAATGGCACCGAATCTTCTTCATTTTCATCGATCAGGAGTCTGATGTGGATCAAATAGTCCCCCTGACTATTGGCATTTAGCCCCTGAACCATACAGGGCTCCTCCTGCAAGCTGAATCTGTCCTTATTAGGCTTTTTTTGTCATGGTCTAATATTCTGTCAAACCTAAAATCTTGAAAACAATAATGAATAATGATATATCGGCAATAAAATATTTATATGTATAAATACCTGTATTGGCCCAAACACCCCCCCCCCTTTCTACGCCACTGATCAAGAAAAAAAATTGAAATGTTATTCTGTCTCTCATGGATTAAAAGAATATAGGTGCAAAGTTAGCACCATTTATCTCTATTATTACATGAGTTATTACAAACTCCAGGAGACTTGTAAGGGATATATATTTTCTTAAAAATCATTCCTCCCTCTTAGAAAATCTTTTTCCCCCTAGAAATTAAGTATGGTTTCTTATGTTTTGCTTAGGTTTTCTGAGAAGGGAAGGTTAATTAAATATGAATTATTGTTAAGGTGAGATGGAGGATGACCTGCAGCTGATGTTGAGGAACGCGACCAACTTTAACGAACCTGGGAGTCAAATTTACAAGGATGCAAAGTAGGAATATTTTTAAAAATAAGTCTATTTTTTGTCGACTTTTTTTTACCACGACCGGTTTTCTTTAATTATTATACTTTTACGCGTTTCTTCCCATGTTTAATACTACCACACTTAATTCTAATCGATCATTATTTTCCATTTAAATCAATGGTTTATCAATTATTTGTAAACATCCTTCATTGTGTCGACTTTTTTATCATAATATTTTTCCCATTGGAAAACTTCTCCTTGTTTTTTTCTTAAAGGGACTGTATAGGAAAAATGAAAGGGGTTATTGGATAAAACCTGAGAATCTCAGGTTTTGAACGATACTTATAAGACATCTATCTTATGTTCCTGGCCAGTACTTTAGCCAATGGCACTGCAGTATACTGGTCACGTGATTTCCGTCTGTACCGCGTGACAACGATACTGCACTGTGATTGACTAAAGTTATTGTGACGTAATACGGACTATGTAATAATATTATCAATTATATCTATAAAAAATGCAAAATAAAATTAAATAATTATAACAGGAGCAAGCCTGAGATTTTCAGGTTGCTGTGAGATATAGTCGTTTTCAGATTGGTCCCTTTAAAGTGTTTTAAAATGTTTGTTTGCTTGTTAATTCTCATCGTTTCTATTCTGTTTCATCTTTCTATTTTTTGCTCCCCTTTCAGATACTTTTTGCAAACCCATGAAAAGTAACTAAAACTCCCTATTCTATCCCCATTTATCTAACCATCTTTATCTCAGGGTTCTTGGTAAGCTGGTAAAATCTAAGAAGCTAGAGCTAGACGCCAGCCTTTTGGCCAAACAGAACAGAGGCGCCAAGTCAAGCAGGCGCCAGTCAAGACAGGTATCATTATAAGGGCGCCATATCGTAATTTTCCCGTGTCCATTGTCCAATTTTGTTTAATGCGTATACTGCACAATTTCTGAAAGCACACACCATTTCTATTTTTAAGGATTAACAAATAAATTTATCACACGGTCATTACTCCAGTTTATGTATAGGTGTACAGTGCTATGCTAGTTGACCTCCAATACGAGGACAGTGATTCGGAAATGGAGGACGAGGATGAGGAGGTGAGAATTATTTGAATTATCAAAATTTTTAATATTGCTCAAAATTAAATATTTAGTTTATCTTATTAAGAGTTTGGCTTATTAAAGGGACTGTTAAGGAAACATGAAAGGGGCTCTAGGCTGAAACCTAAACATTTTAGGTGTTGATCAAGACCCATGAGAGTTCTATCTGATGTTCCTGTCTCAATAAATTGCTATAAAACTGTGTCAAAGGAATTGAGTCTTTGCCACACATTCAAGTTTTATAATCCCTAAAACTTTGCAATCTGATAGTGTAAACCTTTGATATTTCAAACTTAGATTATTTGGTCTAACAGAATTCATAGTTTGAAATAAATAAGGTCTACGAAATTGGGTTGCAAAGACATAAGGGATAAGAAAATCTGAGTTTGTGGCAAATACTCAACTCCTTTATACGTAAATCTTTATAAGATTTTGTATAAAATCTGATATCGACGATATTCCGAAAGACCCTAAGAAACGTATGTTTGCTTCTATTATTTGAATTTAATAATTCATTTATAAAATACATAAAATATTATAAATACATCCGTTTCACGTGACCAGAAGTCCCACCAATGGCAGTGCAGTATACTGGTCACGTGATACAGACGGAGTCACCTAATAATGATACTGTACTACCATTAGTGGGAATTCTGGTCACATGATACGGATGTATTTATTATATTAAAAATGAAAAATTCAAATAATTATAGGAGCAAACCTAAGTTTCTTAGGCTCCTCTGGAAAATCGTTGTTATCAGATTGGTTGTGTATTTGATGAATATGATCCGTTTAAACCTACTATTTGTATTCAGCATTTTATATTTATAGCTTTTTTTATAAATTTTACATTGTTTTATATTAATTTCCTGAGACAGGAACATCAGATAAAACTCTTATGGGTCTCGATCAACTCCTGAAATGCTTAGGTTTCATCCTATACCTCCTTTCATTTTTTCTTTACAGTCCCTTTTCATAGTACGGTATGCTTTCATTTTTGTATTTAGTTGCTAAACACCTAAAACGGGCAGATTAGCGATCTGAAAGATCTTTTCAAAATCATAAGTTTTGATCCTACTAAAACTTTAGTTTAACTTAATTTTTAAGAATGCGAGGCCGTTTTGTTTAAGTCAAAACTATTTTACTTTTTAAAATAAAGTTGATGAAAAGAACTTTTATCCATTTCATTGGTTTGTCAATGTTCATTGTTCACATTTATCTTCTTTTTAAAATAAAGTTGATATATTAAAAAAATTACTTTATCTTGCTAGGACGTGATACCACGTGGTGATCCTATTTGGGAACTGTATACAACTGTAAGGAACTATAGTACTACTACAGGAACAGATCTAGCAGAGGCGTTCCTCTCCCTCCCAAGCAGGTAATCCTGGGAATTGAATTTTATCCCACTTCCTCTCTCTTTTGTAGAATGATTTTATGAAACTATTTTGTACTTTATCATTCTTCCTCACTTCATTTTGAATTTCATAATAATCGTGCTATAAAGTAATCATCGTGCTATGAAGTTAAATTAGCTGTACATTATAGCACGTGTGCTATAAAGTTTTGATCGGTTCTCAGCGCTTTTCTCCAAAAATTTCGGATATTTCCAAAAGGTTTTTTTTCAATTGAATTAAAATTCTGATTGAAATCAACTTTACATTTTGACTCAAGAATGTAATGCAAGGAAAGTTAAGTTGCGTATACTCTGCGTACATATTGAAACCAGTTCTCTCTGGGCGGAATTTTAAACAAGAATAGATGCATCAGTTATCGTTTAGTATCCGAGGAGGTTGAAAGCATTGAATTTTGATAATTTTGATAATTCACATAATAGTTTCCTATGACCAGAATATTTCATTGATTATTCATGTGAAAGATTGATCCCATTTCAGGCTTCGACATCCGTCTTTTGTTTACGGTCGCCCAGTGACAGTACACTGCAGTACAAAACATGCGTACACTTCTGAAATAACTTTCCTTGCATTAAATCCTTTTTTTGACTTATGCTTTGTTTCAAAGCTTATTTGATCTAGAAATAGCCATTGAAATAAGACAGTACACAAACGTTTCATAAAATTACCTATAACATGATTATTTTGACACAACGTGCTATAAAGTTTTTGGACTTAAATTTTCTCTATATCTCGAAGGTTTTCGTCTTTTTAGATTATATTTTGTCCCTTGCTAAAGCTCGGAACAAAATAAAATTTAAAAAGGCTTGAACCTTCTTGATAAAGAGAAAATTTCTGTCCAAAAACTTGTATAACAGTGCGAACCAAAATAACAGTGTTTTAAATAGCGCAAGTAACACACCTGTGGTATCGGTCAAGAGAGTCCTCCTAGTTCAGTCCAGGCAGAGGTCGCCTGGCCGCTTCTAGGATAGGAACACGGGAAGCAAGGAGGAGAAGAGCCGCCTGGTCTAGCTCGAGCAGGAGGAGCTCGAGGACGCGCAGGACGAGCCACGGGAGAAAGAGAGAGAGAGAGAGAGAGAGTACGAGGATCCAGGGGAACCAGGATCCAGAAGATAATACGATAGTAACACAGGAAGGCCTTAGGATCTTCTTCTTGGCATATATCTGGAACAAGAACACCGCTAGAGATAAGACATAAAAGAGATGAAAGAACATGGACAAGACAAAGATCACAATAGTATAAAGACTAGCGGTGCCATCCTGGAGGTGAAGAGAGAGGAGGATAAAAGAACAGCGACGATGAGAACCTAGATATAGGATCTCTGAGTGGGGTGGCGTAGTTAATTTTAATATTGATAATTATTTCTTCGTATTTTCGTGTGAACTTATTATGTTTCTTATAGCAAAGGGACAATAAACGTAATTTCACGTAAGAAATCATTTTAACAGATTGGTATCTTTGATTTACCGGGGCAATTTTCAAACTTTTATATTTAAGTAACAAAGAGGAAGATCTCACTTTTCTATTTAAAAGTGTTAAATTCTTTTAATTTTAATTGGTCCTGCAGCATAAAGCCGCAAGTCACTTTTCATAAATATATGTATTTGTAAAAATAATATTTAGGTAAAAAATATGGATTCATCCAAGTGTTTTTAAGGTTTTAGGGGTACCGTAGTAAATCGGACATACGACTCTATAAATGGAGGGTCACTTGAAATTATGTCTTAATTCTATAAAATATAATATTATTTTATTATTTAAATTTTCTTCTTTGTTCAGGCGTGAGTTGCCTGATTACTATCAGACTATCTCGGATCCTATTTCCTTGAACCAGATAAAGAAGAAACTCAAATTGGGGGAGTACATCACCGTCACCGACCTGGCCAAGGACATGGACAAAATGTTTGAGAACTGCAAGACATATAACCGTCCCGACTCGAAGCTGTACAAGGACGGGGCCAAACTGCAGAAGGTGATGAGGAGCAAGATGGAAGAGCTGGAGGAGGATATAGAGGCTATTCCCATCCTGGAGGAGGTCAAAAAATCCCCCAAAGACCCGAAGGAGCAGATGCGGAAACGGCTTAAGGTTCTCTACAACAGTATCCTCACCTGGACCAACACGGACAACATACAACCAATCGGAGTCTTCATGGAGAAACCGGACCGGAAAACTTACCCTGACTACTTCGATATCATATCGGAGCCCATTGACATGAAAACGATCAACGACAAGATTATGACAAACAGCTACAGGTCGGAGGAGGAAATGTTGTCCGACTGTAAACTCATGTTTTCCAACTGTAGGTTGTACAATGAGGAAGGAAGCTCTATCTACGAGGACGCCAACATCCTGGAGAGAGTTCTCATGAACAAAGCGAAGGACATGGGGATTATCACCACCATTGATAAGATGAAGAAGAGGAAGGGTGGATTGGCGCAGAAGATTAAAACCTTGTTTGATACCTTGAAAGATTACAGGGATGCCAAGGGGAGGCAGTTGTCCCTCATCTTCTTAAAGCTCCCTAGTAAGCACGAGTACCCTGACTATTATGATATCATCAAGCGCCCCCTGGACATGGAGAAGATCTCCGCTAAGATTCGCGCGAACAGTTATGATACTCTTGAGGACGCTGTCGCCGACTTTACCCTGGTCTTCGACAACGCTTGTAAGTATAACGAGCCTGATTCTCAGATTTACAAGGACGCGCAGTCGCTTCAAAGATTAGGGCATCAGACTGTCCGTCATTTGACTGAAGATGACGGGACTCCGGACGCCAGGGCGGCAGTTCAGGACATTCTTGGCAACATCTACCACACTATTTTCACCGCACAGGACGGTGAAGAGCGTTGTTTTGCTGATAGTTTTGCTGAGTTGCCGGAGCATGATGAAATCGGCGGGAAGAAGGTTCGAGCTCTGAGTTTAGAAATTATCAAACGGCGGGTTGATCGGGGTCTCTACCGCCGACTAGACATGCTCCAGCGTGACGTATTCTTGGTCCTTGCCAGGGCCAGGAAACTGTCAAGGACAGACAGCCAGGTCTTTGAGGACTCGGTTGAGCTTCAAAGCATATTTATCAAGGCTAGAGATCAGTATGGAGAGAAGGGGGCTAGGTTAGTCTCTAAAGCTTACACCTACACACTTGAAACACTTCAGGAAGAAATCGCGGCTTTCAAGTCATCACGTGGTAACGAAACTCCGGCCGAGGATGAAAATAATGATAAATTAAATGAGACCGGAGCTGAGGATTGGAATGGAGAAACTGGGATGGTGGATAACACCAAGACCCAGTTCCATGTTGGAGAATTCGTCTACGTTATGCCGGAGGAGAATGCAATGGAGCCTCACATTTACCATGTTGAGAGATTGTTTGAAAAGAACGGATCAAAGACAATTTGGGCGAGACAGTTCTTTAGACAGAGGGAGACATTCCACGTACCAACCCGCACCTTCTTCGAGAAGGAGGTCATGCAAGGAGACATTCACAACTCTATTCCCATCTCCAACGTGATCGGGAAGTGCTTCGTCATGGCGTTCAAGGACTACATCAAGTACAGACCGGAGGGGTTTGAGGAGAAGGATATATTTGTCTGTGAATGGAGATATACAAGTAAAATCAGAAACTGGAAGAAGATTAAGCCGAGCAGCTTCTGGGACACCCCCTCACACATCACCATTGTGCCTAGGGACAAGGTCTTGGAGCCCAAAAAGATTGCCTCTGTCTTCAAGGACAGGATAGAGAAGCACAAGGAGGAGGTGGAAGAGATTGAAGCTCTGGAAAAGGCAAGAGTCCAATTAGTAATTTTTTACACATCACATTTTTAACTTTTAAGTATAATTTTGGCTAACCAACAAATCTGCTCGTATTTTTTGTTGTTTCTATTTAGCTTAAAGGTTGAACAAAATAAAACAAAACTAAATTGGAAAAGAAGAGTTTGCTAAGCATGAATTTTTAATGAATGTTTTTAACAAGGTTGTTAATATTTGACCCTTGGAAATAGGTTGTGGAGGAGGACGTGCCCAAGAACATCGTGTGGGAGGAGGGAGCCGACGACAGCTTGACATACTGGGAGCAGTTCACCATCCCCGGGCCCATCTCCGTCCGACGAGGGGACCACGTTCTCGTCCGCGGCGAGGGGAACAGGAACATGGTGGCCCAGATTGATACCATGTGGACCGGGGCAGATGCTATGACGTATTTTAATGGTCCTTGGTTCGTTGTTCCGGCGGAACTTCCGCCCCAACCTGACCGTAAGTACTACAAGGCGGAGGCTTTTCTATCCACTATTAGTGATAGTAATCCTCTCCTCTCTGTAGTTGGACGCTGTGTTGTACTAGTAAGTATATATTTATTTATCCAACTTTCACCAGGGCCGGGAAAACTTGCAGGAGTGTATTGAATGTATTGAATGTATAATTTTAAGAATTTATTACATGCGCCGGGGGGGGGGGGGACTTTATGAATTATTGGGAAGAAATGAAAAATTGGACATCACCCCTGAAAAACATTTGAATGTAGAGTGGCCATTTGTATCAGTTTTTAAAATTATTGAAAGACTAAAACTACCTCTTAAACAATTTGGAAAAGGTTCTTTCTTTTATAATCATTCAAGTATTTAAAATTTCAAATTATCGTAGGGTGGTACCCAGAAATATGATTTTTATTTCCTATCAATAATGTCACTTCTCATTTTTTAAGTACAAGTATCTTAATCTTTAGCAGAATTCACAATCATTAAATACACGAAGATAAAAACCTGTAAATTATTTTCTGTCTATCATAGTAACTGATGTATTTTTGGAAATCATGCAATTTGTCTTTTTTAGGATTACAAAGATTACTGTAATTACCGACCCACACAGTACAACGAGGAAGATGTTTACGTCTGTGAAAACCTGTTCGACGAGGCCAAGCGTCAAATTCGTCCACTGCCGACGGGACTCAAGAAGTACCGGCTCTCGAACAAAGTTTTTGTAGACGAAATCTACAATTTCCGCACTCCCCTCCACCCCGAGAAGGAGTTTTTAACACCTGTTGTTGTACCACGTGTCACTGCGCCCAGTCCAACCTTTGATATGAACGAGGATAGTATGGACGCACCGCCGTCTATAGGTTCCGTTGAAGCATCACCGATCACCAAGGTGATACCAGTGAAGAAACCGGACCGAAAGAAGCTGGTCACGGCGTACATTCTGTTTTCGGCGGACGTTCGGCGGATAACAATGGAGGAAAATCCAGGAGTTAAATTTGGCGAGATTTCTAGGATTGTTGCGGAGCGCTGGCGAGCGATGCCTGAGACAGACAAAGTGGTAAGAACTAGTTATTAAGATAACATATTTAACATATTTTGAAAAGTTGAAAAAATCAAAATTTAGACATGAAAGGCACTTATAGGTTACAACAGTACAAAGCTTATTAAACATTTATAGCAGGATTATTTTTTTGATGTACAATGTACATATATCTACTATGAATAAGTTCAATATCTTTCTGATGTACAATGTAGTTTCACATGATCTACTAGATGTGAAATATAGTTGTACATGATCTACTAGATGTACAATATAGCTGTACATGATCTACTAGATGTACAATGATGCATAATATATAAAAGTCCACTAGTTGTACAGTATATTCCTACAGTACAACAGTACACTATTTATGTACTAGATGTACGCAGAAAGAGCAAAGAAGTATAATGAAGAGAAGGAGAAGGAGGAGATAAGAAAGGAAGAGGAGAGGAAAAGACAAGCAGAGTTGGCAGCGAGGTAATCACAAAGAAAATCTATATTTTAAGGGACTAGAGACGTCATTTCTAGCGACCCTCCTATCATAGAGGTGGATGTCCTGTTTACAACGTTAACCTTGAAATATACCCTTTTAATATACCCTTTGAATATACCCTTTAAATATACCCTTTAAATATACCCTTGAAATATACCCTTTAAATATACCCTTGAAATATACCCTTGAAATATACCCTTTAAATCAAGGATAAATCAATACTTTTTAATCATGAAAATAACAATATCTTCCTCATTGTTACTCATATAGATCAAATCAAATATAATTTATCTTAAAATTATAACATAATTTGTGAAATATATTTAAACAGAAGGCCTAAGAGGCAATGTTGTGAATCGGACACATCACTTGTTTAAATGAAGGTTCGGTTCACTTAATTACGTGTTCATTTTAAACATTTTATTACATCTGATGAAATGTTAGATTTGAAATTCGGTGATGGTGATGGACCAAACCTCTGTAGAGAAAAAAAATTAGAAGTTAGTTCCACATTTATTGAAAATATATTTCGGTCTGGGTTCACCATCGTCAGTTCTAACGATATAATAACCATCAAAATCTAAAAAAAAAATTGTTAAAAACCACAGGAAAATAAACAAAACAAAAAAGATTATTCTAAAAAAAATTTTGGGACTGTCAAATAGACTTAAGGGAAGCGAACTTAGATTCTGAGATGGAAAAAGATAATTTGCAAATTTTCACTTTGAAAAAATGTTTTAAGACAATTATTAGTCCTTGAAATTAGGGGCGTAAATATGGGTTCTGTAAGGGGATGGGACATTTTTTTATATGGCGCGCTTTTTTTTACCCCCTGGCATTTACAAACTCCATCAAATAAAGGCTTCATTTCCTACCTTTCAGCTATTACCTTGTTTTATATCCTTCATTATATCATTCATTTTACATTAACTACAAAGATCTGTAAAAAAACTAAATTTATTTGAAGTAACCAAAAAAATAGTTTTGCTCAGAGGAAAAAGATGTTGCTTTTTTAAATCTCTAGAAAAGCTACTCTGCAAAACTTCGAAAAAGTATTGTCTTTGTTTATATTCTAATTTCAAGTTCTAAAATTTTCTTGTCGTCAATGTAGTATGTTAAGATCTTAAATAAATCTAATATGGAAATGACATTATTTAGAAGTAAAAATGTATTCTTCATTGCCCATACCCTTGTTTCTATTTAAAAAACATCAAATTATAATGACATTGACTATTACTTTAGAATTTAGAATCATTTAGAATATGTTATCTGAAATGTCTGAAGTATCTGCATTAAAATTATTTTCGTGCAAATTTTAAAGATATTCAATTTTAAATCAACCTTTTTATAAAACAAATTCTATGGGGGGTATTCTAGGGGGGGGGGGTTACCCCCAGGATTCTAGGAAGGGGGGTAAATAACCCCAATAACCCCCCTATTTCCGCCACTGAGGGGGCAAGGCAACTGTAACTTGTAGGGGCAGTAATTGGAGTAAACCCTGCTATTTAGGGCCTGAATAGTCCAGGGTTAATTACCTTCAAGATTTCAGGGGTAGGGTAATTACCTCCAGGATTCTGGGGGGGNCCAATAACCCACCTTATTTATGTTACTGCTTGAGATTTTTTGTTACAAAGATTAAAAACAAACTGTTAAGACTTAATATTTTCTAAATTATTTTCTAGGAATCCCCAACCTGCCAGTCCTGGACCAAATACTCCTGCAGGTAAATATTTCTTCTTCTTAATGTGATTTCATTTTAACTGTTTTCCCATTCTTAACCTTTCCTTTTCCTCTATTTTCTTCCCTTTCTTTCCCATATTTCCCACATTTTTTCCCTTATGAATAGTGTTGGTTTGAATAAAAAATTTAGATTTTTTTTTTGCATATATTTTCTGGCCGAGTCAAAATTTGGTTATTATTAAGAAACAGAATAACAATTTTGAAAAATTTTGATCCTGAAAGAAAATATTGGCAAAAACAGCTGTCAGAAACCGAACCAACTTGGTGCTTTTTTTTTCCTTATTCCGTACTTTAAACAAAATTTTACTATATCTGAATATTTTTCATCAATCCTATAATTTTCTAAAAAGAATAAATTTGTAAATTAATGAATGATTCTAGGCGGAAGGTCTCGATCTGATAGCGGTAGTAAAGGGGACCCACTGTTCCACGTTGTACCGCCTAAACCCCAGCGTCTGCTGCACAGTGAAGCGTACATAAAGTACATAGAAGGATTATCAAGAGAAAACAAGACAATGTGTAATTGGGACAAACAGCTTACTGCTACAAATGAGGTAATTTCAAAATATTTGTATATTCATACGTCATACTTCTTAAAAAGAAAGAATGGGTAAGAAATGAAGGAGGGAGGGGGGGGGGTGGTAATACCGTGAAATTTCTTGTTTTTTTCATTAACTCAAATTATGAAATTTTTGTTAAGATTATACGCGTACCAGACGAGACTAAGCTACCAGCTAGCTGGCTATCAGGTTAGTTTAACACAAGTTTTTATTTACTTTTACTGTGACCAGTTTTGAAACTAGTTTTATTGTAAACAAACAGAATTTAGTAAACAAACAGAATCTAGTAAACAAACAGAATTTTGTAAAAAAAAAAAAAAATTTTGTAAACAAACAGAATTTAGTAAACAAACAGAATTTAGTAAACAGACAGAACTTTTTAAACAAACAGAATTTAGTAAACAGACAGAATTTTGTAAACAAGCAGAATTCAGTAAACAAACAGAATTTAGTAAACAAACAGAATTTAGTAAACAAACAGAATTTAGTAAACAAACAGAATTTAGTAAACAAACAGAATTTTGTAAACAAACAGAATTTTGTAAACAAACAGAATTTAGAAAACAGGCGGAAGTTAGCAAACATGCGGAACTTAGTAAACAAACAGAATTTAGTAAACAAACAGAATTTAGTAAATAATAGCTGCGCTTTCAGTCCGTGTCTGTCTGTCATGCTTAAAAATACCGTCCACGGAGTCATGTTTACAATTTTTTTTTGTTTACAATACAAGTTGTTCGGGGGTGTCTGTTTTTAGACTTTCAAGAGGTTTTACAATAATCTGATATGTAAATCATATTTCAAAACTGCTATGCTACGTAAATTTGCTCTTTATACATTATGCAACATTTGTACTCTGACCAAAGAAAAATACCAAAACGAATTTTTTTAAAACAATTTTGTTTTTCGTTTGGAAAAATCGTTTTGGTTAATATCTTTGTTCAGAGAAAAAAAATCGCATAATGTGATATAACAAAGGTATCGAAAACACAATTTTGGAATGTGAGATATAACTAACATTGTGAGCTCATAAAACGTGAAAACCCCCTAAATCTCACATTGTGGAGCACTTAAAACGTTAAAAACCCCTAAATCTCACATTGTGGAGCACTTAAAACGTGAAAACCCCATAAAAACCTCAAATTGGACCTCGAGCTGGTGCCCATCAGACCTTATAGAGTAGAATTGAAGGGGAGGATAAGAAAAGCTCAGAAACAGTTTATTTTTAATCAAGAACAATCAAGATTGTAAAATGTAAACACCATTCTGATTCCTGACCATGGAAGTAGGTCCCGGGCCCTAGCTATTATTGTTTACTAAATATTGTTTGTTTAAAATAAAACTTTAAAGTTCCAGAGTTGTCCTTATTTAAGCAAAAAGATTTGCTGAACATTTATTGACTGCTGGTTTGGAAATGGTCATTGGCTCAGTTTGAGATGCACTTGATATTTTAGGAACAGGAGAAAACACTACCTCTACAGAAGCTCTTTGGGCGCTTAGAGACTTTATGATGCATGAGGCTTTAGGGGTCGTCAAGATTATGTAATTAATTAATCGTGTAATTATGTAATTATATTTAGACTGCAATACTATGGAGGCATACACATGTTAATGTAACTTTCTTGGTCATGTGACTTTGTAATCATTGGACGTAACATTTTTAGGTTATTACTATATTTTTTAATCATTGGACTTTGAAAAAGTAACAGAAATCATAGAAAAATACTGATACAATTCACTTTGCTAGTACTACGGTTTAGTTGCTAAGCCTTATTCCTGTTGTTGAGCTGGGTTGCTAAATTGACAGTTAACGTATGCTTGTATTTATGAATATATTCTAAACTATATACCTTTTTCTCTGGTGTTCAATGCACGTAACCTATTTGTCTTTAAGTTTAAATACAATTTTTGACTTATTATTTTAAGGAATTAAACCATACTTTTTTATTTCATGACCAGTTTCAGTCAGTTTTGAATAATTCAGCTTGTAGTTAAATTAATAGTTAAAGTTTAAATCAATAAAAATCAAAATTCTAACACAGTTTGTTTTTTGCACAATTGCAAGAATATTAGTTTTCTGAACTTCAATATTTCTGTTAATTTCCAGATCAGCATGTCTGGAGTAGGAATTGAGAATGTGCCCCCAGTCCATTTTGAATCGAGCGATTTCAAGAAATCCACGAATTCGGGAAAAAATGCGGGAACTTTAGGGTCAGCTGGCAGGAAATCTCTGCAAACACTTCAGCCATCGGGAAAAAATCGCACACTTCTTGTAAGTTCGCTTCTCGCGTTAGGCATAACTATTTGATTTTTGCAAATTGGCAGCATCACATATTTTTTTTCAGTCTCCGTTTGTATCTATATTTTTATTAGATAGGAAGTTTATGGTAAATGTTATTTTGGGTATTAAATTGTTAAACATTGTAAACAATTCATAGCATAACCGTTGGCGTTATCCTTTCATGCTTATGAAAGACAAGTTCATAAATATTTTGGATTTTATTAAAAAATGAGATGCATTTTTTTTTTGAGGAAGTCAAAAAATTGCTTAGGAAAGCAATTAACGTAATTATTTTAAGACAATTTTTATCATCGTTTTTATCTTAGTTTAGTGAATTATAAGGTGAAGAATCTTTGAAAGCATTTAATTGAAAAAGAACCAGAAACCTTTTTAGTTTTTAGTTAAAAAATTAGTTCAAATGATAAAGTGATATTAAGGTTGGAGCTGATGGGAAACTTCGTCTCGGTTCTTCTGGCGGGAAGAAGAATGAAATGCAGATCTATAGAGATCCGTCCCCAAAGACCTCAACGCCCGAGAGGAAGGATAAGTTTGTTCAAGCATCCACAGCGGTCAACTCAACTTATACACAGGTATCCAATTATGGGATGAATAATTAAAATACTTTTTTTCATGTATTACTTACGTCATATTTAATGGTAAAATGGATGGGAGCTCAAGCCTGATTTCCAAGGATTGACGGTTAACTGCAATTATTATTATTATTATTATTATTATTTTCACAGAACTTTAGTTTTTTGGAAATGTACAATTTTTTACTACTTTTTCTTCCAACATTTGTTTTGCTAATTGATTTTCCACAAAAAGATCTGTTTCCCAGAAATAATTAAGAATGTTCACGAGCAAATGTATATCAGAAGTAATTTTTACCCTCCTGCGGCCCCCCCCCCCCTCAATAGAAGTATTTTTCCCCACAACCTGTATTTTATTTTTACATATGAGGAAAAATAAGTTAATTTTGTTTAAAGTATTGTCAAACAAAGGAGAAACTTTTTAATTTCTTTTTAAAAAATTACGTACCCTTGTCATATGTACAGTGTACACACTGAAATGTACAGGTGGAGGAGAAAGATACTGCCCAGAGTAGAGCTGAGCTAGAAATGTACGGAACAGAAGATGAATTATCAGCAGACTACTGGAGAGATCTAGCGGAGAAAAGGTGAACCAATCACATACATAGAATTCGTTTCTTGTCAGTTTCCTTATATTTTGACAATTCATCTTTTTAAATGATTTAATTTGTTTTATCTCCTTTTTCACTAACTATGTATCCGTCTTCATGAACTTTATTTTTAACATACAAAATTAATAATTTTTAGGCGGAAAAATAAATTTTGAGTAAAATATATCTCAAAGGATAAAAATTTCATGTTAACTTTTTTTATCCTAGAGTATGAATTCTTGAAAAACATGTCAAACTATCTATAGTGAGAACCAGAAAACCATGGAATAGGAAGACGACTTTTAGGCTCAAACTATGATTCTAAATAGTCCAATGAACATAAAATACATCGATTTTGCAGTGTAAAGAAACTCATTCTACTCAATAATCAAATAAGTTATCAGTGAAACTATTTTCTTTGTAAAAACATCAAATACAAATAAAATAAGTCGTCTCCCTATTCCACAGTTTTCGGGTTCTCACTGTATCTTTATATTTCTATGATAATTATTTATCTATCATTATCTATCCCTATCTTTCGATCTATCTATCTGTAGGAGGGAGTCCCTTGAGATATCTATCTACATAATATTTATCTATCTATCTATATCTATAGGAGGGAGTCCCTTGAGACTAGTTTAAACCAGAAAAAACGAACTCTACACATCCATATAGTTATCTATCTATCTTTGAAATATCTGTCCAGCTATCGTCATCTATCTATCTATATGAAAGTTATCCATCTATCTATCTATCTATTTATCAATGTATCTATAGGACTGGGAGGAAGGCACACTGCTGTAAATGGACCATCAGGTTTCAAGTCAGAATACCTAATTTGTTTCTAAATGGAATATATTAATATGCAGTCTAATATGCAGTTATAACCTCAATTTTCGGAAATTTTGACCAAATCCATTTTTAAAGATTGTAGAAACCTAAATTTCATTTCAAAGTAATCTGCTTCTTCTGGGTTTTTTTTACCATAATTTTAAACAGAAAATAGCAGGGTCTCCAAATTTTGTAATTTTTCTTAACCATATTAGCCATATTATAGAAAAAATCAAACCCCCTAAGTCAACTGCCTGACTGTCAAGATACGGTCTGAAAAAGTCATATTGGTTTGATTATTACTGATTTTACTTAAAAAAGATAGAATTAGGCAATCAAAAAGTTCACTTAATGCTTTTATTTTTTGCTAAATCATGTCTTATGTCTGTTAAGGAGACTACATACTAATTATTCCAAAGAAAAAATTTAGGTGTTCTGACTTGAAACCGGATGGTTCATTTTAAGTAGTGTGGACTGTGGAGGCCCTGGAGACTAGTTTAACTGAAAAAAGGAACTCTACACATCCTTATAGTTATCTATCTATCTTAATAACATCTATTCAGCTATCATCATCTATCTATCTATATGATATTTATCCATCTATTTATCTATCCAACTATCTATCTATGCATCTATAGGAGGGAGGCCTTGGAGACTAGTTTAACTGAAAAAAGGAACTCTACACATCCTTATAGTTATCTATCTATCTTAATAACATCTATTCAGCTATCATCATCTATCTATCTATATGATATTTATCCAGCTATTTATCTATCCAACTATCTATCTATGCATCTATAGGAGGGAGGCCCTGGAGACTAGTTTAACTGAAAATGAGGAACTCCATACGTCCTTATCCTTCCTAGAGGAAGAAAATCAGAAACTTAAAGATGAAACAGAAGCCCTCAGGTTAGCCAATTTTTCTCTCTCGTTTTCAAGAAATAAATTCTGATTATTTTCGTTTACAAACTATTTGGCCTTACTCCAGTCTGGATTTAATAAGGTTTCTTCAAGATTGGATATTGTTGAGAGTATGACAGAAGTCTGATTTTATTTCCTCAACCCTTAAAAATTCACTGAAAAATTGTTCAATCATGTTTTCATATTATCTATTAATAACCCATGATAAGTACAGGGTTACCCACAAAGAATGAATCTTTAGAGATGACTGTGAGAATGTTTTACAGTCCTTTATCTTCTATTTTTGTTACCCTGTTGAAAACTTGTTTTTTTTCTTTGCTAATTCATTAATTATTCAATAAAAAAAAGAAAAAATAGTAGAAATAAGAAAAAAATATTTGAAAACTGTTTTTGTTTTAACCAAGAACTTTATCAACAGGAGTTTGGCAGAAAGAGGCCAAGAGTTAGCTATGATTCTTAACAGTGCTCTTGGAGACACAGAGGACGGAGATAGCACACAAGAAGATGTTTATACCACACAAGAAGATGCAGATACCACACAAGAAGATGGAGTTACCACACAAGAAGATGTGGAAGAAAAGTCGAAGTAGTTTTTTCTATGAATGTTAGTAAATTCGAAAATTCTTGAGCTATCAAATTCAATCAGTAATATAATTCTTAGACAGCTTCATTAATGTTTTATGTTCATGTTCATGCAGATTGGAAGTTTCAATTCTTATTTCAATTTATTTTATTTTCATGTTTTCCATTCTTCTAATGTTAATTTTTCTACTCCCGAGTTCTCCCCTTATTTATTTACTATTTTTCCTGCATACAACATTAGCGCATTTTTTATATTTGTATTTTTGATTCGACGAAGAAAGCAAACTTTCCAGATTCCTGGGACCCTGATCTCAATATAATACAACTTATTTTAATAAATTGTCCAATGTGATTAGATTCCTGGGACCCTGATCTCACTATAATACAACTTATTTTAATAAATTGTCCAATGTGATTGATTCCTGGGACCCTGATCTCACTATAATACAACTTATTTTAATAAATTGTCCAATGTGATTGATTCCTGGGACCCTGATCTCAATATAATTCAACTTATTTTAATAAATTGACCCATGTGATAAAAATCTATTTTATGTGAGACCATGTTTTTAAAATGTTTTTTTTTTTAAACTTTTATCGAGACGCGGTAAATGTGCAACTCTAACAGATTTGGCCTTCTGAAAGTTGTGTTACATACATTTAAAAAAATACTTGTGTGTACCCTATAATTTACTGAAAAAGCTATATTGTTGGAAAGGATTTAACGTTTTTTGTTCTTTCATGGTGGGAGGGCTCATGCAATTAATTCATGGTTTTAGGTAAAGAGTTACCCACAAAGGATGATATATCAGAAACGATTGTACGGAATTGGTTTAATCTGTTTCTCGTAGGCTAAAACTAGCATATTTCTGTGCTGAATCATTCAGTAAACCACCACAGTACTCGGTTGAATACAGAAACCAAAAATCAAGCTCCAAATCACCATATTTTTAGTCTTACAGTCTTTTCCTTTGTGGAATGTGGGTAACCCTATAGGTATCTTATATTTCCCTGAATTATAGTGCATAGTGAGAAACATATTGTTAAAATTACACTGAAAAACTAATCAACTACAGGATTTTCATGAATAATAGGCTTAAGAAAGTATTATATTTGTATTTTTTTACTTGTATAGGGGTTGCTTGTTCATTGTAAAGAAAATTAAGATAATTCCTCTGGTTCCTAGAGAAAACGAATCTTTTGAGTTTCCAACCTAACGTTATTTAACAAAGGCACTTTTTTAGAAGTTGGAAAAAAAACTAATGCAATTTGTATAGGTGGATATTTTTCAACCAGTCATGATGTATTTTTTACCCATCTGGAAGTAATAGAAAATTTGATAAATATTGAGTTTACAGGTGTTTCATGGCAAAGCACTGGCTCATTTATAACTTAATTTTTACAAAATTGTTTGTTAATTATAGTTTTTTTTTTTGATATTTTATATTTTGAATTTTGGTTTTTCTCAGATTATATATTCCATGTGAAGTATGAGACACGTAAAACCTAGGATGTTCATTTTAAGTACTTTTAAACTGAAGGTGTTATCAACTGTTTGAGAGGAAATTTCTCTGCCTGAGTCTTTTGATCCTAAACTTACTAGTTTCTTAATTAGAGCTAGGATGTATTAGTATTCACCCGTCTACAGGCCGATGATGAAAATTATTTCTAGGGCTGACTACGAAAGTAGATCTAAAATCAATTGTTAAGCTATTGAAGACACTTTCCAAAGGATGGTATGGTTTAAAATAATCTGAAATTATTATTTTCAGTTTTTGACAAATGAAATCCAAGAGGGGGGGGGGGTGTTAAGTGATATTTTATTTCTAGGCGCCCCTTTTGATGAAAATGGATCATTTTGGATCTTTAAGCTATTTAAGACACTTTTTTAAGGATTGTGTGGTTTAAAATAATCTAAAATAATTATTTTCTTTGTTTTTGACAAATGAAATCCAAGAGGGGGGTGTTCAGTGATATTGAATTTCTTGGCGCCCCTTTTGATAAAAATGGTTAATTTTGGATCTTTAAGCTATTGAAGACACTTCCTGAAGGATTGTATGGTTTAAAATATTTTAAAATTATTATTTTGTTACTTTTTGACAGATGAAATCCAGGAGGGGGTAGTGACATTTTTTTCTCTTGACGCCCCTGAAGAAGTATTTATTATTTATCAATTCAAATAACTATAAAATATTTTTATAATTTTACTTGCCTTTCTTTATTTAATTTTGCATTAATGGCACGGATTCCTCTTCAATTTCAGAAGTCTGATGTGGATCAAACGGCCCCCCTGACTGTTGGCTTTTTAGCCCCTGAACCATACAGGGCTTCTCCTGCAAGCTGAATTTGTCCTTGTTAGGCTTTTTTGTCATGGTCTAATATTCTGTCAGACCTAAAATCTTGAAAACAATAATGATACATCGGCAATAAAATATTTATATGTATAAATACCTGTTTTGGTCAAACACCCCCTCTTTCTACGCCCCTGATCGAGAAAATTTTTTTTTCTACCCCTGATGGATTAAAAGAATATAGGTGCAAAGTTATCTCTATTATACAAAAGTTATTACAAACTCCAGGAGATTAGTGAGGTCCTTTCGTATAAAGACTTAGATATGCTTCTTCTGGGTGTTTTTAACAATATTTTTTGAAATGTTAATGGCAGGGTCCCAAATTTTGTAACTTTTCACGAACAGTCAAAAGACATATACTTAAGTATAAAATCAAAGTCCAAAGTCAACTGCCTGACTGGCTAGATACGGCTTAAAAATATCTTTTTAGTGTCACTCCACTTCAAAAACCCTTTTATACTTACAGGCAGTACATAAACAGTCATACTTATGGCTTTGAATTTTTGCTAAACGTGTCTTAAGACTGTTACGGAAACAACTCACAAAATTTGGAGACCCTGATATTAACAGTTCAAAAAATATCGTAAAAAACAGAATCAGCTTAATCAAGTCTTGAAACTAAAGATACATTTGTTTTTAGAACAGAAAATGCACTTGATTTCTACAATATCTTAAAAATGGATTTACTCTAAATTCCCTGGATGGAATTTCCTGAAATTTGAGATTATAATTCAGTAGACAGCATATTAATATATTCCAAAGAAAAAGTTTAGGTGTTTTGACTTGAAACCTGATAGTCCATTTATGCAGCTGCAGTGTAAACTTTTAACTTGAGCCATAAAAGGCATACTTCCTATTCCAGAGTCTTCTGGTTATCCCTGTATTTCATTTATTCAATTATTTAACAATATCTGCCCTGTTTCATTTTGCAAATCTTAAACTAGTTTTTTACATCTATGTAATATATTACTAATTATTTTGATTCCAGATTGTTCATACAAAAATACCCAGTTAGGGGCCTGGTTATAAATGAAAATACCCAGTTAGGGGCCTGGTTATAAATGAAAATACCCAGTTAGGGGCCTGGTTATAAATGAAAATACCCAGTGAGGGGCCTGGTTATAAATGAAAATTTTCCCAGAGAAAAATGTAAACCTTTATTAATTTTGAAAAAAATGATTTATTGGAGAAGAATGAATCAAATAGCGACTTCGAAGCAACAGTGAAAAGTTGAAATTGTTACTAAAGAAGCCAGTATTTACAAGTTTTATAAATTTAACTCCTCATTTCAAAAGCTTCAGTGCAATCAATTGATTACAAATGATTGAGCTTAATCCTGCCATATTTAAAAGTTTCCGCATCCCTTATCTCTGGTAATTTCTCAAGCATGTTTCTGGATTTTCTCCCAAGTTTAACATGTTCCGTAAATTTGTGCTTAAAGCAGAAAAAATCACCGAAAACTGTAAAAATAAGAAATAATAATATTCTAAAAACTTTCAACTGGATTTTTGTCAAAAAAAACAGTTTCTTTTTTCTTATTAAAATTTGGATAGTTCAGATTAAATTATGAACTATCTGCAACCAGGAACCAAAATCTTTAATTAGCAAGAATTAGTTGAACTGTACGTAAATAAGTTTATCCTAATGTCCTCAACTTGAACTCACACGCACAGTAGAAGTGGATCAATTCATGTCTATATATTTCAACTATACTTCTCACTAAATATTCATCTAAGGCCGTGTTTAAAGAATTTAAACAGTGCCGCTGAACCGCAAAAAAACGGTTCCGTTTGAGTGCCGGCTCAAATCTCGAAACACTGAGTACAATTTCAAGTAGAACCAAGCATGTTTGAGTCGCGTCTCAAATTTGAGACGCGGCTGAAATTCCTAAATTCGGCCTCTGGTCCCAGGACTTTTTACTGTTTGCTAATAAATATTCTTACCCCATTTACTTGTTTTTCTGAACCCTCTTTTAATAATAAAATACTTTGTCTTTTGTCTTCTTTTACAGGCCGGGTGTCCCAATAAACAGGGAAGCAGGAGAAGAATCGTCTTCGTTAAAGGGACAGTAAAGGAAAAATGAAAGGGGGTATAGGCTGAAAGCTAATCACTTTAGCTCTTGATCGCGACCCATGAAAGTTATATCTGATGTTCCTGTCTCGAGAAATTGATATAAAACTGTGTCAAATATATACGAAAATTAATATATATACAATTTTGTATAAAAGTAGTAGGTTTAAACAGATCATATTCAGCAAATAAGCAACCAATCTGAAAACGATGATATCCCAGAGAAAGCTAATTGTAAATTAGGTTTACTTTTATATTTGTTATTTCTATTTTCAATAGATTTCATCCATAATATTATTTTTACGTCCGTATTACTTGACCAGAAATTCCACCAATGGCAGTGCAGTAAAGTGGTCACGTGATACAGGCGGAGACACGTGACCAGTATACTGCTCTGCCATTGGTGATTGTTCTGGTCACGTGATTTAAGTTTCAGATTTTCAAAATTTTACATATATGAATTTTCGTATTTTAACACAGTTTTATATCAATTTCTCGAGACAGGAACATCAGATAAAACTTTCATGGGTCGCGATCAAGAGCTAAAGTGATTAGCTTTCAGTCTATATTCCCTTTCATTTTTCCTTTACTGTCCCTTTAAGAATTAGCGTTGTACTACCTAATTCCAGTGGTACAAATAATGTTATGTCTTCTAATAATTCCCATGTCTATTGGGACACCCTGTATATAAATAACGAATTATAATGAATAAAAACACAAAAATAGTTGCTTTTATCTATATTAAACTTTCTAACATTTTTACAATTTTGCTTTTGGAGCTTTCTTCTGGAATTCAGAGAGCTTCATAGCCAACCCCATATTCCCTTGCACCTAGGAGCAGCAAATTAAATTATTCTCATGCACCTAGGAGCAGCATATCAAAATATTCAGAGAGCTTCATGGCCAACCCCATATTCCCTTGCACCTAGGAGCAGCAAATTAAATTATTCCCATGCACCTAGGAGCAGCATATCAAAATATTCAGAGAGCTTCATGGCTAACCCCATATTCCCTTGCACCTAGGGGATTATCAAATAAAATTATTCCCATGCACCTAGGGGCAGCATATTAATATATTCAGAGAGCTTCATGGCCAACCCCATATTCCCTTGCACCTAGGAGTAACAAATAAAATTATTCCCATGCACCTAGGAGCAGCAAATTAATATATTCAGAGAGCTTCATTGCCAACCCCATATTCCCTTGCACCTAGGAGCAGCAAATTTAATTATTCACATGCACCTAATAGCAGCATATTAATATATTCAGAGAGCTTCATGGCCGACCCCATATTCCCTTGCACCTAGGAGCAGCAAATTAAATTATTCTCATGCACCTAGGAGCAGCATATTAAAGGGGTGAAAAATTAAATCTCAAAAGTAATTTCAAAATTATGAAAATTGCAAAAATGTATTTTTATTCTATGGGTAACATACAGAAAACCCTTTAAACTGTGGAAAGTGAAGATGACATTTTAAGCCATATAAGTGATTTAGTCTTACCGGATAGCTTGCCCATCAACAAATTAACTTAAATGGGTCCACGTCTAGTGGGTCGTGTACACTACACAATTGCTGGGTTTATGTGTTCAGTCCCTTACCTTCAGTTTACCCTGGAAGAACGCCTTCTGAGAGTTGAGTTTTCCTGTCATCAAATCCAAAAGGTCAGAGTCCGTCATGATTAGGGTTACATCAGGTTTTTCTGATCAAATAAAATAAAATATAATAACTGATCTTTAAATAACATGTCAATCAATCGTTAACTTGATTTATGAATTTTAAATAAAAAACCATTTCGAGTTTAACCATCATCAAACCAATTAGCGACAGTGAAACCCTTAACCCTATTCCTGCTGGGGGGGGGGGTCAAGTTGACCCCCCCCTGTAGTTTTTTTTACATAACTCAAAAAGTATTGTGGGTCAAATTGACCCCCCCCCAAGCATATCCTGGTTTTCAAGTACCCCGCAGAGATAGGGTAACAAATACATCGAAAGAATTCATCAAATGTCGTATCCTTCACTTTTTGATAATGGAATGTTGCAGATATTTAGATTTTTAATTAAATGATTATATGGAACTCTTTAAAACTGTTCCCGCATATTTATGGCTATTTATCTATTTTTACAAATGCTGAAATTTACGTAATATAGTATAAAACTCATTGAAAAATTGTCAAGACGACATTTGATAAATTTTTCCGATGTATTCGTTATTAAGGGGTTCACTGTATGTGTCCTTAAAAAACTAGATTGGTAAAAATCTCAACTGCTGCTAGGTATAAGACGATTGGAAAATAGATTACAAAGAGAGAAAATGCTTTTGAGAATTATTAAGACGCCCTGTTATCTAGTTTTTGAAACACATTTATTCTAAGAGAAGATATCTAGAGGTTACATTGACGATGGATTTATTTATCGAGAAAATTATTTTGTTATCGGCCATTTTGTTATAATAAATGATCGAACAAACCGGTTCCATTGAAGACGACCGACCCGGATCCGTTTTTAGCGTCAACAATCCAGTATCCTTCAGTTCCACCTGGTCCTCCCTTCACCTTGAACCCGTAGATTCCCTTCACTTTACCCACCAGGGTTGCCCCATCAGCCTAGAACAGTTTACATGCAGGGCGTATCTATATATATAAAGTTGTAATCTCTGTTTGTCTGTCCGATCATAGCTCAGGAACCCCTTGACGATTTGCCTCAAATTTTGATTGGGGAACTCGGGAGAACTACGGTAATGAACTTAGCTTGGTTTTTACTAAGACCCTCTAAGTAAAGTGGGTCGATTAAATAGCGAAAATTTAGTTTCCCGTTAAAATCTTCCAAGTGCGGGTAAACGGCGGGAGTAACTATGAGTAATCTGGGCAGCGCTAGGTTAGAAAGCCAGTAGAATTAGAAACCCGGGGAAAATGTGGAATAAATGTCGTTTTCTTTCTTCTTATGATTAAACAATGTTGTTAGGAATTTATCACTTTTGTAATATATGTTTTCATTTTAAGAATATAAATTACACAATTCAAGAAAAGAAAAATCCTTCATGCATATTTTTAATTAGAGTCTTAACTTTTGTGAGTAACCATGTTTAAATATATCACTATACCTTCAGTGCTGAAGTAATCTCATCAAAGATGATTTTAGATTTGAATCCGTCTGGAGAAGTTGCCCTAAATACAGTGAGACCCTTAAAACTATGGGATAGAAAAACGATATTAAAGCGATCTTATATTTGATGCTGTTAGTATGACCATTTATTAAGTAAAATGTGCCTGTGTACACTACACAATTGTTTTCATGCGTGCTTCGATCTATTGAAAACCATATTATAGCTCTTATAGTCAAACATTCGAGTTTGCTCATGGTTTTGAGATTTTAAGTTGAGTGGGGTGACTTTAAAAAATGGACCAAGTGCTGGTAAACGGCGGAATTAACTATGAGTGCCCTGGGTTCCCAAGATAGTTCACACTATAAAGAACAAAAATTAACTTGCTACATCAACAGGACAATTTGGATATTTGAAATGGTTAAAAGTTCACAACGCTCACAACTTACAGTGAAACCCTTAATAACGAATTCATCGAAAGAATTCATCAAATGTCGTATTCTTCACTTTCTGATAATGGAATGTTGCAGATATTTAGTTTTTTAATTAAATGATTATATGGAACTCTTTAAAACTGTTCTCGCATATTCATGGTTATTTATTTATTTTCGCAAATACTAAAATTTACGTAAAATAGTATAAAACTCTTTGAAAAATTTTCAAGACGACGTTTGAGAAAGTCTCCCGATGTATTCGTTATTCCGGGTTTCACTGTAGAATAACAATAATTTAGTGTATCTCTTTCCATCTTAAAGTTAAAATAAAAAAGATATTGAACACTTAGATCTAGACTCAGAGCATCCTAATAAACGTGGGAATTGAGTGATAACTCGTCTTTCATTTACGCGGCATTATTTGTCACCCGAATTTCATTAGCATCACAATGAAAACATACATCACTTAAAAACTAATGGTCTCAGGATTCCAAAATGTGGTCTAATTTTTTGCAGAGATTTTGAGGTATTCGTAAAGAGAGTAGAATATATATTAGAGGGAAATTTACTAGAAAAAGTGTAAAACGTCCATTTTGTCCATTTTGTACTGTTTCCATACGGCAGGTGCAAATATGTGAAGTATACTTCACATATTTGCACAATATAACCTTTTGGGCCCTGGAATATCATTTTATAGAAAATCTAAAATTAATATTAAAAGAAAACCAAATTATGAAATAGGCTGGTTTCATAATTGACCAATGATCATTTCACATAGACTCTATGCCTTTCACATTACAAACAATGATTTTCTGTTATAACTATAAATCAAATGATGTTTTTTATTTACCTAATTAATTTTAAAAAGTTTATTTAACAGCTTTAAAAAATTCGAAATTAAAATGGAGTCTAGGGAACATACTGTATTAATGTACTCTACTGCATATAATTTGTGAACATTTACATGATTTGTACACTTTGAACTACCTTTCAGGCTGAAAGGGACTGACAAAATTCATACCAAGGTATTCTCTAAATTCCACTCAAATTTATATTCTATTCTCTTTGGGTATTCGTCTTCATTCAAATTAATAAAAATAAAAATTGTTCAAATGTTTTATATATTTCTCTATCAATTATAAAGATGCAAAGAATGAAAACCACATTTTGGATATCTCATAAAGTCTTTTCTCTGATACACTCTTAGGCATTTATTAATCATCGGAAAAAAGACGACTTTCAATTAAGTCGTTTCTAATTTTTTTGGGACACCTTGTACTTTTGTCACGCAAACAAAACAACAGCAAAATGGAAGTTACTATTGCTATAATTCGCACAGTTAACCCGATGAGATCGTTCCACACACGTCTATCGCAATTTTTCAAATTTATTTAAATAAAACATGTTTAATGAACTTGCCTAAGTAAGCTTGTCTAGTATTAAATAAATAAAACATCTTAAATGAACTTGCCTAGATAAGCTTGTCTAGTATTAAATAAATTGAAAAAAAAATTATGAACAGTAATAGATTGTCATAGGTATTCTTATAAATATTTTACATCCCTAATCTTTCGTTCACAATTTCGAACTAGATTTTAGTAATTTTTGAACATGCTTTTGTTTTAGCAAATAAAATGTTAGGGGGTCTTTTAGTTTGAACAGTTTCAATTCAAGGCGCTCCCATTCTCCATACAACTTTTCTTAAACTTAATAATTACAGTGAGAACCAGAAAAATGTGAAATAAGAAGACGACATTAAAACAATACTGAAGTGCATTTAATTTAATCATTAATAAAGTAAAATGGGTCTGTTCACACTGCACAATTGCTCTGCCGTTTGTTCATTGGACTATTTAAAGTCATCACTTGAGTCTAAAAGTTGACTTCCTATTCCAGTGTTTTCTGATTATCACTGTATGTTTAAAACATACTTCCTTATCTTAATTAATTATTTAAAGTACACGAACATGATTATTGAGAGAACTCATTTTTCTGCATAATAAAGAAGATTAAGAAATTATCAGTTTAAATGGACTGTCGGCGTATAATTTCAAGTAGCCTTCCCTTTATTTTAGAATTTACATGTTCAGAAAGGTCTTTATTTTTGTAGCAAGATGGAGGATATCGTCGATATTCTGTTTTGAATATACAAAGTTAAATTCGTTTCAATTCTGGTTTTATAGAGAAACCTGGATTGAAAAACTAGGATATCTCCAGACAAAGGTTTCAATGGTACCGTTGTTAATCAGCTATGTAGCTTTGAATAATGTATATAAAGCAGGAAAATTCACGACAAATTCTACACAACAGGGTGGCGCGAAGCATTTTGGAAGATTTGGTAATTCAAATTCAAATTGGAAATTTTCCGGGAATTCTTCTAATCCTAAGATAAAAAAGTAAAACAATTTTATTGGTTAAAATAGTTTAAAATTATTCAATTTGCTAAAAGAATGCTGCGTCAGAATATAGAGCCAAGATGATTACAAAGTTGTGTTTAAATTCCAAGGATTATTGCGACTCCCTGCGTCCTGCTAGGTCTCTAAAAAAATTTCTAACCCCTCACAATACATAAATGTTCCTTACATGGTGTGCACTGTCTTAGAACTGATATTATTATCTCTCAACAATTATTTATCTATATGAAAACAAGATTAAATCTTTATCTCTCGTGTAAAGAGCAGAAGTTAGAAATCATCTGTAGTTGTTGTAAATATCAATACAATGGAGATGACTATTTATTTCTACCAAGCTTTCAAACAGCAGAAACGCATAAACATGTAAACATAAACAGATTCTCTCTGTTTACTTATAAACTTGTAATTTGAAAAACGATCGGCAGGGATCAAATCATTGTTATAAAAAAGTCGTCTTCTTTGAATTGATATAATCACCGACTACTGTACCTCGCCCGATTAAAGTAAATATTAGAATAGCTTCTACATTTTTGATCAGAAAAAAAATGAAATAAGCGTGCATTACATATCTATGCATGGAGGGTCGCTTGAAATTACACGTACAATCCCCTATTAGCTTAAGATTAGCGTATCTCATTCTCCGACCTCAGATTCATCAAGAATACTTGTAGTTCACATAACAAAATCACATTTAAATAATACAATTTTTTTTAAAGATATTTTTATTTTTGCTCATTATTTGATAGTAAAGTTTAGTATTCCCTGCTCTAGGTGGGATACTAGTTGAACCTTATCACCAGCATTCACACTTTTATCAGTACATATCACAACCCCCTGAAGTAAAATATAGAAATATTTTTATATTTTATAAAATTCTGAAAGCTAAAAAAGCAATGTGAAAGGTTTTGAATTCTTTACAGTGTACATAGTACGTACACTAGACATTGTACAGTGTACACAGTACTTACACAGTACTTACACTGTACAACTATATATATTATCACCTGGCACCAAGCTTCAGATTCCAAAGTTGATTGTTGAATACCCCATCCATAGTCCTGTACAAACCAGTACACAACACCATGTACTCTACCTAAATATATAGTTTATATACAAACCAGTACACAACACCATGTACTCTACCTAGATATATATTTTATATACAAACCAGTGCACAACACCATGTGCTCTACCTAGATATATAGTTCATTATACAAACCAGTACACTACTCCATGTGCTCTACCTAGATATATAGTTTATATACAAACCAGTACACTACCTAGATATATACAGGTTGTCCCACATCATATTGAATATTTAAAGCTCTAAATTGTGATTTTCGGGACTATTCAGAAAATTTAAAAAGGAATTTAAGAAGAAATTTTTTATATTATGTGCGTTAAAGCTTGTAGATAATCGCATAGGCTATAATTTCAATCTTCAAATGTTTGTATGTCATGTATGCGTTAGATATCAATACTGTAGTTTGTTAAAAGCTGATTATTTTATTAGTGGGTTCCCTGCTTCAGAAAGAATGGAGAAATTATCAAAAAGACAGTTTAAGGTAAAAAAGCAACCACATCTTCTATATATCTAATATGATGACGGAATACAGGGTATAGTAATCAATCTGGTATATGTCTCTTTTCCAATTGATCACTTGAAATTACGGCTACAGTTCATTCAACAGAATTCGATTTACCTGTAGCAATGATATCAACGGTAATAGATTTGATTTGTCTGGATAGATTAAACACATTTAGATCTATACTTCTAACCTCTATGACAGCAGATAGATCTAAATATAGATTAATTTAATTGAATTTGTCTTGACAAATCTAAATATAGATTAAGATAGATTAAACACATTTAGATCTATACTTCTAACCTCTATGGCAGCAGATAGATCTAAATATAGATTACTTTAATTGAATTTGTCTTGACAAATCTAAATATAGATTAAGATAGATTAAACACATTTAGATCTATACTTCTAACCTTTAAATCGAGCAGCAGATAGATCAAAATTTAGATTAATATGGATTGAACTTGTCATGTAAATCTATATATAGATTAAGATAGATTTGATTTGTCTGAATAAATCAAGTACATTTAGATCTATACTTTTAACTTCTATAGCAACAGATATATCTAAATATAGATTACTTTATGTGAACTTGTCTTGGTAATCTATATATAGATTAAAAGATAGATTACAGTTGTCTGAGGATAGATCAAATATATTTAAATCTATACTTCTAACCTCTAGCAGCAGATAGATATAAATCAAGATTACTTTAATTGAATTTGTCTAAATTTAGTTTAGTATCATCCTAGATAAATAAAAAATAAATAGATCTATACCAAACAAAGAGAATAGAATATATATTAGAGGGGAATTTACTAGAAAAAAGTGTAAAACGGCCATTTTGTTGTACTGTTTCCATACTGCAGGTGTACTTCACATATTTATGCTATATAACCTTTTGGGCCCTGGAATATAAATTTATAGATAATCTAAAATTAATGTTAAAAGAAAACCAAATTTTGAAATAGGCTGGTTTCATAATTGACCAATGATCATTTCACATAGACTCTATACCTTTTACTTTACAAACGATGATTTTCCGTTATAACTATAAATCAAAAGAGGTTTTTTATTCACCTAATCCATTATAAAGTTTATTTTACAGCTTTAAAAAATTCGAAATTGAAATGAATAGTCTAGGGAACATACTGTATTAATGTACTCTACTGCTTATAATTTGTGAACATTTACATGATTTGTACACTTTGAACTACCTTTCAGGCTAAAAGGGACTGAAAAAATTCATACCGAGAGATTCTTTAAATTCCCCTCTAATATATATTCTATTCTCTATGATACCAAAGTACTGTAACAATAGATTAATAACAACACAGACAGAACAATAGATGTCGTTTTTTCAAGATTTAGGGTTTTTTGTTCTCTCTGTCTTGTAATTCAACGCTGCCTGCGCGTAACTCTTTTGGGCTTCTGCCTCATGTTTATTGTGAACGAAAAACCCCTAAATCTTGAAAAGACGACATCTAGTGTTCTATCTGTGTTGTTATAGTTATTAATCCATGACTGAAAACAAACATTGTTTCCATCCCAAGATCCAACATACATCCTACATCCCATCATGTAAAAAAAACTTTAAATTAGAATTACCTTTTCGTTTAATAGTTTTGAACTGTATATCCTGTAGATGTGTTACTGCAAGAATATTTATCTGGTCTGCAATCTTAAACCCTGTAATTAGTAATTTGTTAGCTACAACATAATTTTCAAATTACTTCTATATGTACTATAATTATATAAATACATATATACATATATTTTTTAAACAGGGCGTCAACATATTTCTAAGAGTTTGCATGGTTTTAGAGACACAAAGTTTACATTCATTGAGTTTAGCACATTAAATAGGTGTTCAATTCTATTAGCGCCTGATCCAATCAGGGTATTCTAAACCAATAGAAATTGTATTAAGGTAACATCTACCTTTCTATCCATCTCGTTATCCAATTAGAGATATGAATCATTTAATCGGCGCTAACAGTAAATGGAAATGTTTACTTCTATTGAAACTATAGTGAATCGTCAGTCCTTACTTCATCTATATAATAAAACAAGACATTCGTATATATGTTCCCTGTAGCCGGCAAAACGGCAATTGGCTGAATTTTTTTGTGAACACTCATAGGTACCCTGTGGGTGACATAGACAAAAAAAATCCATTTTTTACCACGGGCAACGCTGGGCCCTTCAGCTATTTTTATTATTTTTCAAAATGTAAAAATATGTTTACTATTCTTGTGTTTTATAGTCACCTGACACAGGTTCATTGCTTCTTAGATGTGAATAATTACAAAGTTCTTCACTCTCAACAATCTTTGATAACATTTTTTATTTTTTTAATGTATGTTTCCTCTTCGGGAAAGAATGCAATATTTAATCTACAGCTTCTTCCAGAAATTAAGATTTTTACACGTCTTCAGATTCATCCACATTTAGTCAGAAAAGTTTTTTCATGAAACTAAAAGAAAGTGAAATGTCTAAAGTTCAGATACCTGGCACCAGAGCTGGAGTTTATGAGGTAGAATTATGCCTGATCCAGGTACTAAGGATCCCAGTACTATATCTAGAGACTGGAGAAGGGATTGATCCAATCTTCCAGACTGGAGAACTGGAGATACAACCGCTATATTATACTTATCTTCTCCACCACCCTCTAATCCTGTAGTATCATTATTATTATTGTTATCATTTAAACACAAGAGTATCAATTTCCATATCAAGGATAAATAAGGGAGAGAACAAAAACTATTGCTGAAAGTTTTGGAAATATTCAAAATGTCGTCTTACATTTTTGTAACGGAAAAAAGTATTCCGATTGAAATAATTACTTTAACTATTTTAAGTGTAAACCGAATGTTGCCATAAAACAGAGCTCATTATCAAATATGATACAGTAGCAAACATAACACTGTGACAAGTATGTAGTCTTTGTTTTTCTTCCACTTGCTGAGGATTTTATAATTTGCATTTGTAGCAAATAATATCCTGGATATATATCCACCTATTATACAAGATATTCTGGATATATATCTACCCATTATACAAGATATTCTGGATATAATATCCACCTATTATACAAGATANTAAAAGATATCCTGGATATATCTACCTGTTATAAAAGATATCCTGGATATATCTACCTGTTATACAAGATATCCTGGATATATCTATGTTGTTAGATTTTACAGTGGAGGAAACAAAATCCAGAATTACTCGACCTTTCTCCCGCTCATCTAAACAATTATATACAGTAATAATAATGATAATTATACATGACAATAACAATGAAACAATAAAACAATGAGAAAATTACAATAACAATGACAGAGACGACAATGACAATGAAAACGAGACACAGAGACAATGACAAGGAAATCGAAACAACTAGACAAAGAAGTAACAAGACGATGAGGCAATAAGACAACAAAGTAACGAGACAATAAGACAATGAGATGACAAAGTAATGAGCCAATGATACAATGAGACAAGAAGAAAATTACACAATGAGCAATGTGACAAGAAGACAACAAAACAACAAGACAATGATACAATGAGACAAGAAGACAACAAAACAACAAGACAATAATACAATGAGACAAGACGACAACAAAACAACAAGACAATGATACAATGAGACAAGAAGACAACAAAAACACAAGACAATGATACAATGAGACAAGAAGACAACAAAACAAGACAATGATACAATGAGACAAGAAGACAACAAAACAACAAGACAATGATACAATGAGACAAGAAGACAACAAAACAAGACAATGCTACAATGAGACAATAATAATAAAGATATAACGTAAATTTACCAGTATTAACTACTAGATTAAGCCTGGAGGTTGGGATGGATTTAGTTATCTGTAGAGAGAGAAGAGGTATCATCCAGGTATAGTCTAGTATACTCTCACAACATACCTCTCTAGACATAGGTATATGTAGTATACACTCACAACATACTTCTCTAGACATAGGTATAGTCTAGTATACACTCACAACGTACTTCTCTAGACATAGGTATATGTAGTATACACTCACAACATACTTCTCTAGACATAGGTATAGTCTAGCATACTCTCACAACATACCTCTCTAGACATAGGTATATGTAGTATACACTCACAACATACCTCTCTAGACATAGGTATAGTGTAGTATACTATCGCAACATACTTCTCTACATCCAGGTAGAGTTTAGTATACTATCACAACATACTTCTCTACATCCAGGAAGAGTTTAGTATACTATCGCAATATACTTCTCTACATCCAGGTAGAGAGTCTAATATACTATCACAACATACTTCTCTACATCCAGGTAGAGTCTAGTATACTATCACAACATACTCAAAGCGTGAAAAAATGTTCTTTACATTAATTCCAAATAAATGAAAAATGTGTTGCGACATTTTCTTGAATAATAATTTGTAGAGTATTATTTCAATATCATTACTTTTAAATAAGAAAGAATTAGACTGCATAATTTTAACGGAATTTAGGAGCTAAACTGATTATAATGATAACATTAGCCAGTTAACTATAATCCATAAAAGTAAAGGTCGAGCCCCCCCCCCCCCTCATAATCCGTTAATTCAACAGTTCCCAGCTCATGAACATAATTTTTTTATTTTTCAGGGTAAAAATATAATAAAGGGTGAAAAAAACTTGCCTTTTCATGTTCAATTTTACATCCCCCCGCAGATCTTCAAACCCCAGTTTAAGAATAATATACATCCTCTCATTTTTTTTTATACCTAATAGCATAGTAGGCAACCCACTGATATACTTCTTCTAGCTTAGAGCAGTTTATTCTCTTTAGTTCAGATTCAGGCAAATACAACAAATCCTTTGGGATTCTAATCTCCAGTTTACCATTGGAGGACTCTATGTGCCCATTGGAAGACGTCAAGTGCCCATTGGAGGACGTCAAGCGTCCATTGGATGTTGTAAAGTGTCCATTAGATGATACAGCACAGCCATTAGAGGACAATGTTGGTCCATTGGATGATAGTCCGTTAGATTCAGAGTTGGTTGGGAAACCATTTAGCAGAGATAAACTTCCGTTTAATGGGTTTAGGAGGCCATTTTGTTTTGTACTAGTAACAATTTTCATTTCATTATCTAAATTCTCAAAAAAAAACTTTCTTTTTCATTTTTGCTCATGGTTAAATACAACATTATGCAAGTTTCATAAATCTATTAACCTGAACATGGAAACAAACATAATTACTAAAATTCATTTTTATAAAATAAAATCTAGAAATGAAAATTAACCTAATTTTACAATTGTTAAGCTCCACGTGATTATGTATCTTGAACTCAGTAGATATCACAGATTCAGTTTTGTACACCTACAATCATAGAGAATAGAATATATAGAGAGGAATTTACTAGAAAAAAGAGTAAAACGGCCATTTTGTTGTACTGTTTCCATACTGCAGGTGTACTTCACATATTTATGCTATATAACCTGTGGGGCCCAGGAATATCATTTTATAGAAAATCTAAAATTATTGTTAAAAGAAAACCAAATTATGAAATAGGCTAGTTTCATGATTGACCAATGATCATTTCACATAAACTCTATGCCTTCCACTTTACAAACGATGATTTTCCGTTATAACTATAAATCAAATGATGTTTTTATTCACCTAATTCATTATAAAGTTAATTTAACAGTTTAAAAAATTCGAAATTGAAATGGATAGTCTAGGGAACATACTGTATTAATGTACTCTACTGCATATAATTTGTGAACATTTACATGATTTGTACACTTTGAACTCCCTTTCAGGCTGAAAGGGACTGAAAAAAATTCATACCGAGAGATTCATTTAATTCCTCTCTATATATTCTATTCTCTATGCCTACAATAGTTGACAGTACATATTGACTTGCAGTAAACAGAACACCATACACTTTAAACATATAAATACAGAGTGAAGAAGTAACAAATTAGGAGAACTTGACAGAATTAAGTCAAAGACGAATTAAGATTGTTGAATTTTTATTGTAAATTAGTTTACCTAAACTTAGCGAATAAATAAATGGACCTTGAAATAAATATTCAAAAGAATTAATCACTGTTAAGTAATGTTAAAAAATATAATTGTTTTCTTCCAGCAAATAAATGAATAAATGAGTAAGTGAAAAATCAATTAAATATTGGAATGAATGAATGAATAGGTGAAAGGATGAAAGGATGAATGAATGAACGAATACGATACCTTATTTTAAATAAAGTATAGAGGAAAGATAGCTTAGTGCCAACAAATAATAATGATTAATAAATGAAAGGATGAATGAATGAATGAATAAGATACCTTATTGTGCATAAGGTTAAGAGGAAAGATGGCTTGCTGCCAACAGGTTTCAGAACCTGGCTCTGTATTTATTCTCTCATTCTCATCTAAACAGAGGTAACAAATTATATATTTCTAATCTTTTTATAATGCGCTTAGAGGGTCCCTCCTTAGTTATATAATTCAAGTCTTCGGAAACTGCTGTTTCTTTATTTGAATCATTTTTAATTATATTTTGGTGAATTTCCCATATGTCCAAGGAGTTGAGCTTATATCCTTCAATTCAAAAGTAAGCGCATCAATGAATCGTAGTTAAAGACAATTTTACCAATAAACATTATACATAATCAATATTACCTAGATGCAGAGTAAACCATCCAACCAGGGCGTCAAGGTCTCCATTCTCTGATACAGGTAGATCTACAGCTGATACCCTTCCAACCAGGCTTAATTCATCAACCTAAGGAGGGAATCATTAAACATTAGTATGAGGATACTAGATACAGGTGGATCTACAGCTAATACACTTCCAACCAAGCTTAACTTATCAACCTATACAGAGGGAATCGTTAAACATCAGTATGAGGATACTAGATACAGGTGGATCTACCCTTCCAACCAAGCTTAACTTATCAACATATACAGAGGGAATCATAAAACATAAGTATGAGGATACTGGATACTGACTGGTATAAAAACAGCTAAATTCATCAACCTACATAGGGATTCATTAAAATGAGTATCAGAATACCGGTAGATCAGCAGCTGGTGCATGTAGATCAACTGCTGATATAGGTAGATCAACAGCGGATACAGGTAGATAAGCAGCTGGTACAGGTAAATCAACAGCTTAAATGATTGTATCCAGTTGATATAGGTAGATTAACAGCTGATATAGGTAGATTAGCAGCTGATACAGATAGATTAATAGCCGATGCAGGTAGATTAACAGCTGATGCAGGTACATCAAAAGCTGATATAGGTAGATTAACAGCTGATGCAGGTAGATCAACAGCTGACACAGGTAAATAAACAGATGCAACTCGTAGATCAACAGCTGGTTCAGGTGGATCAACACCTGATGCAGGTAGATAAACAGCTGATAAGAGTTAAATTAACAGATCACATCCTTCCTAAAAGACCTAACTTGTCAACTTACAGAGGGATTAAAAAAAACAAAGTCAGTATTGGGCACACATTGGAAGTTTGAACTAAAATACCCGCTCATTTAGGATGTATTTATAGATTTAAATTGTCACCTCTGTTTTGTTGTTGAAATCTATGCTAAAGAGAAGGTTTGGTTTGGTCAGTAGCTTATACCCTCCAGGTATACTGCTTAGACTCTCACTGGTGTAAGGCTCCCTTAAATTAATTAAATTTTTCATAATACGTTTTTAACCCCTAATCTTATATTTAAACCTTTATTTAAACCAGAGATAAGATAGTAACAGAGATCAATTGAAACATATGATATGCGATATTTTCCACTGCGGGTTCTATTGTGTACAAGTACTGTACACGAGCAATCAGCAAACATCTGAATTCAGGAATATTTAAGAATCCTTTGGATACGACAAACAAAATCTTCAAAAATAGAATAAATTCATAAATGTTATGTTTTATGTTTAAAATTGGAGTTTTTCTTTAAAAGTTTTAAATTTTAACCCCTGAATGGGTATTACATGCAACAAGTGGCCGTTAGATGGCAGGCAAAATACCTTTCATGGCGTGCAGGGACACTTAAGGCCTGCTTAGCCTATACAGGTAGGGCATATGCGCAGTCTGGTTAGTCTGTGATTTAAACCCTAGCCTGGGGTTTAGCATATGAACAGTTACTAAAAGGGTCAATGTTAATTCAAAGGAATTGAGCCTTTGCCACAAAATCAAATATTCTGATATCTTTGCAACCTTATAATGAAAACCTTTAATATTTCAAACTTAGATATTTAGAACTAAAAGAATCCAAAGTTTAGAATGTCTAAGGTCTACGACATGAGGTTGCAAAGATATGGGAATGGAAAATTAGAATTTGTGGCAAATACTCAACTTCTTTTCATATTTTTACCTGGGATTTTGAGATAATAAATGTGAACGGATATCCAGGTTTTGTGTATCCAAATATCCATACCTATCCCTGCAACATATTTCATATTTTTACCTAGGATTTTGAGATAATAAATGTGAACGGATATCCAGGTTTTGTGTATCTAAATATCCATACCTATCTCTGCATCATATTTCATATAAAAGATTTATTAATTTTTTATGCTTTCTTAGGAAAGTTTCTTGGTTCATACTTTTTGCTAAACAAACACGCACAATTAGGAATTTATTTAAGTAAACACAATATAGCATTAGAATATTAATATTAAGAAATTCTTAAATATTAGTAATTGTCGGCATTTTTTACAATTAAGTTTTCGCCTTTATCTTCATCTTTCTCTTTATAAATTTGAGATTATTATTCACAAAATATACACCCTGTATACAGCTAAATGATGAGGAAATGCCAATCTTTTGGGTTTAGATCTTTTATTTTGTTGCACTTTAATTAAACCTTTAAGAGGGTTCATTCGAATCCTTCTATTAAAACAACCCTAATACCCCTGTTCAAAATGTCAATGCCACTCTTATTCACAAAATATCAAGCTAAATGATGAGAAAATGTCCAATTTAAAATTTGAGATATATGACTTTGAACTATAAAGGGTGTAAAAACAACCGGTCCGTAATATTTAAAATTGTATGACCAACACTTTAAAACTTACTTTGCATATTTGGTTTGGTTTCTGATATACTTGGATTCCAGGCCACAGATATAGAAATCTGCTCCGGCCGGGATAGTTCTGCTACTGGAGAAGGTTGGGTTAGGGATACCAGAGACGGGAGAGGACGGATGTATGAGAAGGTTGCTCCAGGCATGCTGTAAGCTTTGAAGAACATGCTCTCCTAAAGTTATTTTTATCAAATTAATAGTTATAATATATCGACATTTAAGAAGTTATTTTCACAATTAGTTCGACGACCGTAACAAACTTTTTTAATGATAATAAAAAATACAATTTTATATAAGTAAAAACAAATAGAGTAAAACTAAATCTATTACAAAAAAACAAGAACAAAATAAAATGTGCATTGGTGCTGAAATATCAAAAGCAAACAGAACAGGAAAGACACGAGCAAGGATTAGTAATTCCCAGAATACAGGGTTAGTCTATTAAAATTATAAAGTTTAACAAATAAATAGTAATAAAATGACAACCAGTTAAGAATCGTTTTAATTTTTAATAGAATTAAAATACCTAGAAGTCCTGCGTCAAAAGTTTCTGTAACCAGTAGTTGAACATGTTCAGGAATATCTTCATGTGTCAAGTCAGTTGAGAGTTTTGGTAACAACTTTATCACATTACCTCCGGGGTTTAGTCTAATAAAAATGATAGTCAAAGATTTGGAGGGAAAACTGCAAAATTGGATCTCAGCCAGTTCTCTTTTTACATTTTTTTTACCTGAAGTTCAGATTTATTTCTTCCTTTAAAACCTTTTTTCCACCATCAAAATTATTAAGATACCTAAAAACATCAGCAGCTGTTATCGCCATAACTTCAGAAGCTTCACAAGCATAAACTCTTGAAGCTCCCGCTTCAGCAGCATACAAGCTAAATAATAAAGCAGCTTTAACCAACAGAAATTTAGTATTCTCTCTCTTCCTTTTAATGATTGAAGGAGATTTTGAATGACAAATGTTAACCTTAACCATTATATAAAAATCAAGTTTTAAAATTGAGCCATATTGCAATTGAAGTTAAATGTTGAATTTGAACTTAAAACGAGACAAGTAAACTCTGAGTAATACCTGAGTAAACCGGTTCCTGTCCCAATATCCAGCACGGTCTTGCAGCCGCCCTAGAAACCAGAATTATAACTAGTAGCCTTTCAAATATTCATGGGCGGATGGCCTTAGGAGTAGGCTATGCTCCCCCCTGCAAAAAGGAAAAAGAATTTGAGTAATTTTATTAGAGACATTATGTAATTTTGATATTTTTAAGCATTTTTTCCCCTTTACAATTCTATTGCAATCTGTACGCATTAATCAATCCCTTAAAATAGCAACAATAATTAATAGTGCCTTACTAATTCATTTTAGAAATCTAAATCTTACTGATTTTTACCTGAATTTTATTATGAATAGCCCTTCGGTATTTGCTGTTACGGTCTCTGTCATTCAGCATTGGGAAGTGCCATCGATCTAGAAATTAGAAAAACATAATTAAACTTTAAAATCGTTAACAGAGATGCTTTAACTTTGAAATAATCTTTTTTTGATAATTCCTAGATGGCTGTAGGCATTGTTACCTATAAGAGTGGCGGGCATCTATGATTACATCAATTTGTTAGCTATGAGAGCGGCGGCCATGTTTATTTACATTATTATGACGTAAGAATAAATTAAATAAATGTTCCCTGAGAATGGCTGCCATATTCAATTACAACAATATTACCAAGAGTAAGAGAATGGTGGCTATGTTTATTCACATCAATGTTACCTGAGAGACTGGCGGCCATATTCATTTAGAAACATTTTTCTTACTAAAGAATTAATTGCATGAATCGTCCTCATGAAAGTGGCGGCCATGTTTATTTACATAAACATTACCTAGAAGAGTGGCGGCCATATTTTCCAGCCTATCCTTGGCTAGAAGAAAATCTGGATCAATATTTAGAACTTGACGTAGAATCCTCTCTGCGTCTATCAGCTTACCCTAAAGAAAAACTTGTTAAAAAAAACATCAGTTAAAACAATTACAAATTTCATAATAGGAAAAGAAAGAACGAAGGCGACAACGAAGAACTTTTTCTATTGCCACAGAAAATTGAAGAAACATTTTTTTAATCATCAAGTTTGAAAATTTTGCGCGGCATCAAAATAAGTGTGAACCAAACCTGTTTATAAAGTGTACTGCCGTAGTTGGTTAACAGATGGCAGTTCTCAGGCAGTACATTAACAGCTTGCTCGTATACCTAACAAACCAACCTTAAGCCAAAGCGTAGCAAATAATCTTTTTTACCGCTTTTTGATGATTTTCTCTAAAAACATTTAACATGTTTTGTTGTCAAAAAGCACGACTTTTTAGAATATGATAATTAAAATTAGGAGAGAGGAGGTTAGAAAATGTTATTACATAACTTTGCAAAGGAAGAAACCGTATGATAGAAAATATATCATTGTTTAAATAGATACCAAAATGTCGTCTCTGAAGTCTCATCATTTATGTGTAAATCTAAACTATCAAAAAACTCTCTGTTCAAATTGATATTAGCAAATTTGAAGGTTGGTGTAACCTGGAGAACTTTCTCAGGTTTACCGGACTTTTCTAACTCCTCACTGCAAAATATAAAAAATATAAAACATTTTTTTTCTCAAAAGTTATCTCGAAAAATGATAAAACAAACTATAAACCTGAATGCGTAAACAACACTAAGAAAGTCTTCTAAATGTGTATCCTTGAACGGCTGAGGTTTAAGTTGTGCGTAAACTAGAAAATGCGGGAAACTCCGTCCAAAGTCCCGGGTCGTTCTGTACTTAACCGCTTGAGTCAGGGAAAATTCAGAAACCTTTTCCCGCTTTTCTTCGGGGGTCATTTTTAATCTGAAAAATACACAAAAAAATCTCAAGAAAACAAGTGTATACAAATAAATTTTTTATTTAGAAAACTGTAATTTTTTTTCTATATCACAGAGTGTTATGCAACATTTGGAACACAAAAATGAATAAATAGTAACGCAGTGTAAACATAAACAAAAACTTGAAGAGAATGTTCACCTATTTTAGATTCATACTAGATGTACTATTATAGATAGATTGAAAAAGGAATCTTGTCGTAACTATCTCAGTCATTTGAAATACCCTTAAAATTGTAATAAACTGAAGTGAATCGCCATTAGATAAGTGAAAACGTTATTTAAGGACAGAACCGCAAAGTTTAAATTTTGAAAACAAGGTTATCATGCTACTTCGCTGTGTTTCTGATAAAAAATTTGGGATATTAAATGTATTTTTGAAACTGTGAACAATCTCTTTAAAGGGACCGTCAACGTATTAAATTGAGTGAACCTTCAGTTTAATTTTACAGTCTGGACTCTAGAATTAGGATCCTTTCAAGTATTGTAATTATAATAATTTTAACTGAAGGGTAACATACAAATACGTTCTCAATCCCGCAAATATTTACTGGAACATTCAGGGGGTGGTAAAATCCTGTTAGACAGTTATTTTCTAAATTGCCTAAGATCTAAAGAAAATCTAAACCAGTTCGAATGTTGTCTCTAAATATTCCTGTGTCTGATTTCATTCTCAAACTGTTGAGCTGTGAGGGTTCCATCTATAGATTCACACCCAGGGTTAAATACACTGTAGGCAGATATTTCACCTCGTCTCCTTAAAAGTATCTTCTATTAAATCTAAAAATCTATATATAAAATAGTTATCTTTGTTTGTCTATTTGTTTGGATGCCCGAGCATAAATCTTGAACCACTGGACCGATTTGCCTCAATTTTTTATTGAGGCGAAGTTTGTTTTCATGGTATTATGGTTAAATAACTCCATTACAAATTACTGACGAAAATGCGAATAATGGCAGCAAAAGAGACCAAATTGAAAGAGCACCAACAAAAATGACTCTCGTAAAAATGATTAGTTAGGTTGTTGGTAGCTCTGAAAAAAATATTCGCGCATTCTTAGGAGTTTTATCTATCCCCCCCTCCGCCAAGCTAGGAACCATGCCCTGAATACACCTCTTTATATGACTCATGACCTCTTCTTAAATCATCTATGCTCCCGCCCCGTTCATCTCACGTTATATATTTCATACCAGTTATTTCCGGTTCGTCAGGTTCCGTTTCCGCAGTGTCAGCTTCCGTGGATCCTGCTACATCCTGTATGTATAATTAATATATATTGTTAGGAATCAGACATGCCTTTCTATAAATCTGTGACAAGAGTAGTATAAAGTTATCATTATAAAGGTATCATCAATAAAAAAGGTTTAAAGTTTGAGCGTTGAGTGTTTTGGCAAATGTATGTAAAAAAGTTGCAAGAAGTGCCAACTAGTGATTTAGCTTGTCTGTTTGAGCGTTTAAAACGCCTGTACGTATAGAGCTCATCTGTGGGACCACACCAGCTGCGAAAGGTCCTTGAAGCTGTAAATATATTCACCTGAACCGGTTGTGGAAGTAGAAGGTTCTTTAGCCACTCTAGAGATATAAAATAGAAAACTGTCTCTTTTCTCTTCAGTTTCTGCTCCTCTTTCTCTTTCCTGTATTACGTCAAATTAAAGTAAATTTGATGTCAGATTGATTTCTATCATTTTTATCATTGAAGCAAATTAAATCACGTAGTGTAGGGATTGCTTAAGACATCCTATAGTTCTTTCCTGTACTTGGGTTTTAAAATCAAATCTTCTCTTAATGATGAGCTCTTAAAGGGACTGTAAAGGAAAAATGAAAAGCATTTTAGGAGTTCATCGAGACCCATAACAGTTCTATCTGATGTTCCTGTCTCGAGAAATTGATATAAAAATGTGTCAAAATAGGAAACTCTATATATATAAAATTTTGTATAAAAATCGTAGATTTAAATAGATCATATTCTGCAAATACGCAACCAATCCGAAAACAACGATATCCCAGAGGAGACTGAAAAACTTTGGTTTTCTCCTATTATTATTTTAAGTTAATAATTTTTCATTTTTAATAGATATAATTGATAATATAATTACTACGTCCGCATCACGTAACCAGAACTTCCACTAATGGCAGTGAAGTATCATTGTCACGTGAACCAGCGGTAAGTAGTTTATCGAACTCTCTCTTCATTGAATTCGGTCCTTTTAACACTGTGCTAATTCATTAAATTCGGCCCCATAATACATACATGAGTCTGTAGGCTTTAAGTTTCTCTTCAGTTTTGGACATTGTCTCTGAAATTTAAATTTTTTATTCTTTGCAACTCCAGAGCCCGCGATTTAAAAGCTTCGGCTCGGGTCGTTATTCCTTAAACCCGACTTTAAGACCCAATCTTAGACCCAACTCTGAGGACAGTTTGTGTCACGTGATTGACAGCTGCAAGATCTTCGGCTCGACTTAAGGAGTTAGGCCCAATGAAAATAAAACCGACCTTGATTGGTTTTAGTGGAGAATAAGGCTCAATGTTGCGTCTTGTTCACATAAAAACTCGGAATGCCCCCATTCCTACCATGAAAATCCGCCAAATAGAATATTAAACCAGAGATGGAATTTAAAGAATTTGAGCCGCGGTTTAAATCCGCCAAAATCCGCCAAAACCCGGTTTGAATTAAGCGCCGGCATAAATCTTGAAACATTTGATATAATTTTAAGTGGAACCAACCATATTTAAGCCGTGGCTTAAATTTAAACCGCCGCTCAAATTCTTTAAATTCGGCCACGGTTTATTTAATTCAACTCTGTGGAAAATAAGATGCAGCTTGGATCCGAAAGCTCAAGCCGTAAATAAGGTCCAACGACAGCTTAGACCCGAGCCGTATTTCCCCGAATTTTTTAAATCGCGGACTCTGAATTTTCAACACTTAAAGAAAATAGTAGGCATGCGAATGTTTATACCGAATAAATTGGCAATAGTTATATCCAAAACAATGGTAAAAGCTATATGATCAATGATCATATATATATATGAATTTGTACTGCATCCACAATGATCATCAAACAAAGTACAATTATTAGGACCATTGATCATATGTGCATTAACGATGATCATCAAACAAAGGAATAAAAGTAATATGATTAAACATTTATCATATTTACAATGTACGATCTTATTCATATAATCAAATAAGATCTCTGAGAGGATCGCTTTGTTGCTGTTGTTGCTGCTGTTGCTGTTGTTGTTGTTGCATCATCCTCTGCTGCATCATCATACTACTCTGCATCCCTTGTACCGGCATGCCTTGATTCTGCATTCCCTGGCCTTGCATGCTCTGTCCCTGCATATTCTGCCCCTGCAGGACCTGCCCTTGCATAACCTGGCCCTGCATGACCTGACCCTGCATGCCTGAATTCTGCATGACTTGCCCCGGCATGCCTCCCATCATGCTAGAGGGTTGTTGAAGAATCTGCCGAAGACCTATAACAAAAACAAGTAACTAAAACTTATCTGACTTTAAAAAAAAAATTTAATCTTTTCATTTTAACCCACATCTGGATCCTGAACCCATTCGGTAAAAAAAATAAGTTTTTTTTTTGAAACTTGATATTGTAGTTAATGGTCAGGACTGTATTGGATGATATATCTCACAAGTTCACATTTAAAATGTGTTTGAGAAAAAAGTCCTTTTTCTTTTTAAGTAGTTTCGTTGATATTTTACCGCGTAAATCCAAATCCGTGGATCCGCATATTTTTAACGAATCCGTATCCAGGAGACTAAATATTTTCGAATCCCAGCACTGCAGTAATTACTGAACCTGGATTGCCGGGATTGTGCATCATCCGACCCTGATCCTGCATCCGCATATACTGTTGCCCCTGCTGTGGGATCCTAACCATGTTTCCCCCTGACATCATCACCATCTGTTGTTGCCCCTGATTGTTCATCAACCCTGACCCTCCTACTATAGGCTGACCTTGAGAAATCATCATTCCCTAAAAATGAAGAAAAATTCAAACATTTATTTCAATAAAGTAAAAGCAATCAAGTCTGAGGTTGACAGGTCACAAAGCTTAATTTTTCAGATATCTTTAATTGGCGAATTTTAATTTTTTTTAAGAATGCCGCTGCAAATATAATTGCTAGAAACATGATTTACTAGAAACTAGAATTAACGGAAAAACACAATTCAACATAATTATTGTTCATGGTCAACTTATCTAAACTTTAAATAATCCAAATTACAAGAAGAATGTCGTTGAAAGCATATTTACTGTTATCAATTGATTACTGAAAGAAAATAAGCCAGAAAATTATTTAAGAAGTAAGAAAAAATTCATTTTTAAAAATAAATCCCGATGAAACAAAATCCTTAAAACTGTGGAATGGGAAAACAATATGAAATCAATCAAATGTAAAGGAGACTCAAAAACTATTAAATAGTAAGACAAGCAATTTACTGTCTATGATGATAAAGCTAAAAGTTTTACAAGTGTGTACACTTGTTATGTTTAATGTTCATTGAACTACTTAATATCATAACTTTCGTCTAATGGTAGTCTTCCTGTTCCAGAGTTTTATGAGTACCACTGTATTCCCAAGTATTGCAAGTTACATCTGAACTGAAAAAAAAGTTGATTTACCGGTTGTGAGATCATGTTTCCCTGCTGCATAGGAATATTCCCCTGCTGTTGGTTCAGCATCTGCTGTTGCTGTTGCTGTTGCAGGCCTTGTCTCATCTGACCAGCCTTCTGCTGTTGAATCACTGTACGGATTCGATCAACGAAACTTATCTACAAAATAATAATAATCATATTTCATTTTCCCCATTAAATTCAAAGCCAATTGCAAATTTATTTGGAAGTTTTTCTTTCCATTATAAGAATACACAAAGAAAATTTTGTTATGAAAATATTTGAGAAGAACAGGAATACTGAATGTAATGCGAAAATAAAGTTTATTTAGAAATCGTTTTAAGTAAATAACTTTGAACGAAAATAAAACAATTTCAGATAAAATAAAAAGGGTCATTTGAATTCCCACTTAACTTTTTTTCATGTGAAGTTTTTCAAAACTTTAAACTTTTTTAATTTCATACCTGGTCGTTTGGAATAAATCCTAGATACGCTTTCTTCTCACTAGAGTAGAGTAATATCAGAACCTTGATATCACAGTTTCCTAGATATTCATTTATTAGTTTCCTAGATATTCATTTGTTTCCTAGATATTCGTTCATTAGTTTCCTAGATATTCATTAGTTTCCTAGATATCAATTAGTTTCCTAGATATTCATTAGTTTCCAAGATATTCACTAGTTTCCCAGATAATCATTCATTAGTTTCCAAGATATTCATTAGTTTCCTAGATATTAATTAGTTTCCTAGATATTGTTCATTAGTTTCCAAGATATTCATTAGTTTTCAAAATATTCACTAGTTTCCAAGATATTCATTAGTTTCCTAGATATTAATTAGTTTCCTAGATATTCATTAGTTTCCAAGATATTCCATATTTTCCCAGATAATCATTAATTAGTTCCCTAGATATTAATTAGTTTCCTAGATATTAATTAGTTTCCTAGATATTGTTCATTAGTTTCCAAGATATTCATTAGTTTCCAAGATATTCATTAGTTTCCCAGATAATTAGTTTCTTAGATATTCAATAGGTTTTCTGAATATTCATTTTCTGCCAAATTTTCAACCCTACACCAGTGCACAGTTCACAATTGAGCGTAAAAAGGGGAGGGAACAAGGAGGACACAACCTGAACTCTTCACCTAGACATCTTTTAATATCATAAAACCGCAACGCACGTTTTAGTTCTCCAGTGTATAAACATATTTTACAATTTGCCCTTTCACCAACACTTGCAGAGCCCCCCGGATAAAATCCGAACCAAATGAGTAGGCGGCCGATGAGTTTACCTGTGAAATGAACGCAGCCCGCGAATCCTGATCCCATGACTTTGGTCAAAGCTTCCAGAGATTCACAATCAGTAGGATGGAACAGAACAGACTTAGAGTGCCTAGACAGTATAACTAGGTATAGCTAGACAATAAAGCTAGGTATATCTAGACAATACAGCTAGGTATAGCTAGACAGTATAGCTAGGTATAGCTGGACGTATAATTTACCTAAAATATTATCTATTGTATGATTTACCTGAAATATTGTCTATTGTATGATTTACCTAAAATATTGTCTATTGTATGATTTACCTGAAATATTGTCTATTGTATGATTTACCTAAAATATTGTCTATTGTATCATTTACCTGAAATATTGTCTTTTTTATGATTTACCTAAAATATTGTCTATTGTATGATTTACCTGAAATATTGTCTACTGTATGAATTACCTGAAATATTGTCTATTGTATGATTTACCTAAAAAATTGTCTATTGTATTATTTACCTAAAATATTGTCTATTGTATGATTTCCCTGAAATATTGTCTATTGTATGATTTACCTAAAATATTGTCTACTGTATGATTTACCTGAAATATTGTCTATTGTATGATTTACCTGAAATATTGTCTATTGTATGATTTACCTGAAATATTGTCCTCCAATTGTCTGAACCAGTGTTTTAGGAATAAGCTGCATAATAAGCTTCCCAGGCCAGTTCTCAGGCCGAACTTCAGCCTGACCATTATCCTAAAAAGTGAACTTTTTTTTTTTAAATTTCAAACATTTCGTTTTTTGTACTTTTTTCCGAAGTATTTTGTTTTTCGTTTTGGATGTTTTTTCTTTTTATTTTAATCTCTGTTTTTTTAAGCCTTAAATGAGGTTTTCTCATTTGATTTTGGTCCTTTATTTGTTCTTCCCAAGCACTTTTTTGGCTGATCGTTTTGTTTCCGTAGCTTAATATATTTTTCATCATCTTGTCTCCCCCC